TGACAGGCGGGGATACTCACCACTATACTATCCGAGACTATATCTTGAGACACTCCGTTGTGAATTTTCCCGGCTGACGTCAGTGACTACTGGTTCGGACCGGACATCGACGCAATCATCAATTTTATTTGAGTGCCGACGGCGGTCTTCAGGATTTGGCCATCATTTTTATGTTTCACTGTGATTATTTCTATTTGTATTTTTCACCATGATCCATCTCGTCCCTGCGGGACAATCGACTACGCTAGTTAATGTCTCCGCGAGAGAGTATTTTTTGTCTATAAATTAGATCCCATTGCTTCTAAAATAAGGGAGACATTCCTTCTCCCGAATAAACTTTCTTTACTACCCCCGTTAACACCACGTATCATATTTTGGTGGAGAAGCTGGGCGCACATAAAATTAAATACGTATACGTCGTGTCATTTATACAACAACAACAAGAATTTTTATTTCGACAATGGACAAGGAGTCAACCCAAGTTACTAGAACCCGTTTCTCTCGTTTTGTCGCGGACCCTCAGCATTTTTCTGGAGCTGACGCTGATATCGATCCCCTTACTTGGTTGAGAGTCTTAGATAGGCTTCGTATCGGTCTTGGTATGAACGATGACGAGGCTATCCTGGTTGCCGTTTCTCACTTGCGCGGGCAAGCCCTCAGATGGTGGGACCTGAAGGAAGGTGGTGTTCATACGTGGTCCTCGTTCGAAAACGAGTTCAAGAAACAGTTTGCCTCGACACAGGTTATTGACGAGGCTTGGAACGATATCGAACTCTTGAGACAGACGGAGAATCAGCAAGTGGAAGACGTTGCATTCCGTCTTAGGGAATTGTTTCAGCTCGTGGGCATTATGGATGAAAACCTCAAGATCCATTCCTTCCTACGTGCCGTTCGTCCCGAGTTAGCGTACGAAGTCGAACAGAGAGGACGTGCCAGTACTTTTGAGGAAACAGTACAGCAAGCCCGACGTGCGGAGGTTATTCAGCAGAAATATACCGTTCGAGCGATGAAGCGCGATAGCCAAAGTCCCCAAGGTGCTTACCCGATCCAACCGTCAACGAATAGTGTGGTTAGTGACGCACTCTCCCATACGCTAAGCGATTTAGCCGAAGGTATTCGCGCTATCCAAATTCATTTAGTGCAAGGCGGCACTCCTGGAAAACGTACTATTGGTGGCTCCCAATCTCGACAGGTCGAGTGTTGGAATTGCGGCGAAGTTGGCCACAAGCTACCCGATTGTCCGCAACCGAAAAAGCCTACTCATATGTTGTCCGCTCCGGGAAAAGGGAACGGGTACCAGTAAAGGAGGCTACTGGTACCCCACTACCATCATCATCGAACGAAACCTCCGACAAGATTACGAAGAACGAAGTGGTTTCTTCACCCGTGAATTTATTGGAAACGGTTGAAGTTTTCAATACTAAGCGTACCGCAAGTGAAGCACAACTTGGCGAGTACTCAGGTGGAGTAAAGAAGGACGATAAAGGCAAGCGACCTGTGGCCCAGAAGGCGGTGCGAAAGCGAAGACCTCTGAGACGTCTACCGGTTCCCTTGGCCCATCACGACGTTTGGCGAAAATTGGCGACTACCGAGGCTGGATTGACCATGGCGGACTGGATTGCCTTGGATAAAAACGCTTACCACGATTTGCGAGACGGACTACGGTATCTATATGGTAAACGACCCAAGCAAGAGGTTTTCTCGCCTATGGCAATCGGCGAAGTTCACCCGGCGGAAACCGAAGGTTCAAGCGACAGTACTGAAGAATCGTCCTGGGAAACCTCCTCGACCAATGAAGACATCAGTGATTACGAAACCGATGATACGGAATATCACTACCCCTACGATTATGATGCAATGCGTAAAAGCCGACCTTTTCGCGCCCCTGTAAGTATCGGAACTGAAGTTATTTCAGCTGTTTTCGACTCTGGCGCTAGTGTTTCGGTAATTAGCAAGCATTTAGCGCAACGCTTAGGTCTGATTCCGAACGGAGACAAACTTCAATTATCCGCCTTTGACGATTCCACGCGGGGCCCCTGTGAAATTACCATCGATGTTCCGGTGCGAGTGGCCGGAAAGCTTCGAAAAGAACACATGTGTATTCAACCAACTGGCAGTCGTGATGTTCTCCTATTGGGTATGACCTGGTTCCGGGCTTATGGTATAAGGCAAGATCTCAAGCAAGCACGCATCATCATTCCTACGAAACACGGAAGCAACTATGTGGAGCTATACGGCGAAAATGTGGCAAGCGATGATGACTCATTAACGGCGCTTAGCACCACGGCGGTTTACGCAGTGAACTTACGTCAAGACGACTCCGAAAAGAAAGAAGCCACACTAGCGTGCGGGCTTGGCGAGAGTTTAGCTTCTTATCAAGACGAGGTACTGGAGCCAAATTTGGAAGCACCCGAAGAGGAATGGCCCCCGGAAATATGTGCACTCATTCAGGACAATGGAGATTGTTTCGTTGAAAACTCTGGTCTTGGCCGCGTCTCAAAAATTGAGCATGAAATCCCGCTAGCACCTACTGAGCCGATCAGATCCAAGCCCTTCAGGTTAACCTGGGAGGAAGAGGAGTACCTCCGCAAGGAAATCAAGAAGATGTTAGAGTTAGGACTGATCCGACCATCTCGAGGGACTTGGACTTCACCCATATTTTTCGTGCGCAAACGTGATGGTACCCTCCGTATGGTCATAGATTACAGACGATTGAATCAAGTGACCATCAAAGACGCCTACCCCTTGCCACACATAGACGACTTGTTGGACTCCCTGGGAAACGCGAATTGGTTCACCACATTGGACGCTGCCAGCGGCTACTGGCAAGTTCCCGTCGCAGAAGATTCCATTGAGAAGACCGGATTCGTGACAAGACAAGGCACTTATGAGTTTACGGTAATGCCATTCGGTCTTACATCGGCGCCCGCCACATTCCAGCGGTTGATGACAAGACTCCTAGGTCCCTACATCGGTGAATTCGTCTTTGTATTTATCGACGATATAATTATTTATTCGAAGACATATGAAGAACATTTGGACCACCTAGCGACCATCTTCCAGATGTGCAAGGAAGCGAACTTAAAACTCAAGAAAGCGAAATGTTCGTTCGCCCAAAGCGAAGTGGAATATCTTGGCCATACCGTAGGACGACAAGGACTTTCCCCATGCAACCGTAATGTCGAAAAGGTCATCAACATGCCCTTACCCCGGAACATAGAAGATGTTCGTTCCTTTCTGGGAACCGCTGGATACTACCGACGCTTTGTGCCAAGCTATTTGGAGGTGGCACAACCGCTGACGACGCTCTTAAAGAAGAATGAACCGTTTATTTGGACCCGAGAACACACGCAAGCCGTTCAAGCCCTCAAGGAAGCCTTGACGAACCCGCCTCTTTTGGTTTTTCCGGATCGGCAGCAAGTACAAATTCTGACGACGGATGCCTCGACAGCTGGTATTGGCGCGATCCTTTCTCAGCAACCGGAAGGTCAAGATTCCGAGGAAAAGGTCATCTCGTACGCAAGCAGAAGCCTTCGTGGTCCCGAGAAGAGCTATGCTGTAACGCATCTCGAAGCCCTCGGTGTGATATGGGGCGTACATCATTATAGACACTACTTGGCCGGCCGACGGTTCAAGTTACGAACGGATCATGCAGCCCTCACGTATATATTCAAGAGCAAGACGCCCTCAAGCAAGGTACAGAGATGGGCAGCAGCGCTCATGGACTACGATTTCGACATACAACATCGTCCTGGAAAGCTGAATCCAGCGGACTCGCTTTCGCGACTATTGGCCGATGACTAGAGCGACTAATACATGGATTCGGGAGATCTTTTCCCATGTGGTTTTTATTGAGCCCGAATTTCATCAATTATATATAGACTTAGTGTAGAAATTTCCAAAAGGATCTTTTTTTTTTTTTGTCTTTTTTCTCGGGCTGATCCTTTTTATCTTCTTTTGAATACCTTATATAGTCGGATTCTTCTTATTACCTTATCCTTTTTTTTTGGATAATTCCTTTTATCCTTGATCAAAAAAAAAAAAAAAAAAAAAAAAAAAAAAAAAAAAAAAAAATCTTAAAGCTATTTTTATTTATTGGTTGCTGAAACTTATTACTTTACGTACAAGAAGCAAGAAGAAGTGCTACGCTCTTGTTAGCGAACCCCATGGAATACCCCTTGTACTTGTCGATTTACCAATTCTTGATGGAAGGCCGTTATCCCTTGGACGTGGATGAAGCCACAAAGAAGAAAGTCCGGCGACAGGCAAAGAAGTACCAGCCTTACCGGGGACGGCTATTCAAGAAGTCTAAGGATGGAATGGTTACTGAACAAGAGGTTCTCCACGAAGGAAACGTCGAAGAAATCATCCGCAAAGTTCATGACGAAGGGCATCTTGGTGTCAACAATACCTGGAAGAGGTTGCGTTTGGTCTATACTGCTAAAAGATTATACGAGAAAGTCAGACAAGTTATCAAGTGTTGTGAAACCTGTCAATTCCGAGCTAAGATCGCTAGACAGCGCGTTGAACCTGCCCGCCCGATCTCCATTCCACATCAACCGTTCCGAATGATTGGATGCGACGCTGTTGGACCGGTGTTAGAATCGAAGAAAGGCAATCGGTATATCCTGGTGGCAATCGATTATCTTACCCGTTGGCCAGTCGCTCAAGCTGTGCCGAACATCAACGAAACGACTACTGCCGAATTTCTATACGATCACGTCATCGTAAACTATGGTGTACCAAGACACATTCTGACCGACAGAGGCTCAAACTTTACTTCGGGATATGTTGAACACTTTTTACGATCCCTAGGTTGTCGACACCTAACAACAACCGCCTACCGACCACAGACAAACGGTTTATGTGAACGTATGAACCAGACGTTAGTCCAAGTTCTTTCCAAACTCATACGCGACCATGGTGCCTTAGAAGACTGGGATAAATACGTCAACCCCGCATTATTAGCTATCCGAACCATGACCAATGACTCTACTGGAATGACCGCGTCTAGACTGCTATTTGGGTATGAATTGAGAACGCCTGGTACCTGGCCTGCCCCACGCGAAGACTTTGTAGAAGATGAACTAGCTGAGGAGGTTGCAAACAGGGTTGAAACGATACAGCAAATGAGCGAGGAGGCCCGGGTTATTGCCAGAGAGAAGGTGCGCCAGAAACAGTTGGAAGCCAAGAAACGGTATGACAAACATGTGTATTTCCGCAGACCATTTGCTATCGGTGAGCAAGTGCTTATGAAGGATCATGTCACGCCTACCAAGTTTTCGGATCGCTGGTTGGGACCCATGACCGTGGTAAGGGTCAACAAGGGTGGGACCTATCATCTGGAAGGACCAAACCGTGGACGACTCGCGGGTGGGGTAAACGGAGACGTTTTGGTGCCGTTCTACAGGAAAAAGGACATGATCCCTGACGTCATGGTACGACGCACTGGTGAACTGTTTCAAGCCTGGATCGCCCGTCAAGAACGACCAAGTGAACCATTCGACCCTGCCGTGCAGCCTAAGGGGGGGAGCATGAGACACTCCGTTGTGAATTTTCCCGGCTGACGTCAGTGACTACTGGTTCGGACCGGACATCGACGCAATCATCAATTTTATTTGAGTGCCGACGGCGGTCTTCAGGATTTGGCCATCATTTTTATGTTTCACTGTGATTATTTCTATTTGTATTTTTCACCATGATCCATCTCGTCCCTGCGGGACAATCGACTACGCTAGTTAATGTCTCCGCGAGAGAGTATTTTTTGTCTATAAATTAGATCCCATTGCTTCTAAAATAAGGGAGACATTCCTTCTCCCGAATAAACTTTCTTTACTACCCCCGTTAACACCACGTATCAATCTTCTCTCATCTAAAGCACAATGATCAGGACAAATCATGACTGCTTTTCTTGATGATTTGACTGCGTATAAGCCTCCGGCAAGCCGCTGGAAATGTGTTTTGCCGTTACGACGCGTTTTTACGTGACATAATTCGTAATCCGCCTATTCCCCGCTTTGTTTCCGCCATTCCGCATTGCTATCGATACATTGTGCTATGTGTGACGGACGGAGAAATACCTTTTTTAGGCAGTTCGGTTCTCGTTCCTTCCCAGCAAGGCCACCCCGTGACATAGCCTTGGTTCATAATAACGGTAGCAGTTTATTTTTTGGATTTGCTGATCTATGGAGTTTCTAGTAATTTTTTTTTATTGAATTATGATCTCTAAGATTCGTTATAGCAAACATTTGCTTATATCGGTTTCGAAGGAACGTTTCAGTTATTTATAAGCGGTTCAGTTTTATTCATATAGGATAAAAAATAACACTCCTTTCTGCTGCTGAGATTGCCCTTAAACATGCTGAAGATTGCCATGCTCCCATTATATCTTATTGAAGAAGAAAGAAGATCCAAACACAGCAGCCACTAGTATATTTGATGAGAAGGTCGTTGTTTGTGTCTTGCGAGAGTTGAATGATACAGCTCTATATAGGTTTTTAGTGTTCATCGGCAATTCCATCATTTACCGATCTGACCTGTAGGAAACGGTCGCCATGTACATATCTCAAATTTCAAGTCTTTTTGTCATGCTTAACTAGTCAAAGCTCGGATGTCATCCGATTAGTTTGATCATTTGGATCTGATACAGGCAACGTTGAGGTTGATCATGGCACGCTTACGGACAAATTGTATTTTCATTCTGTTCATTTAGGCACAGCAACAAATGGTTTTATGTACCATTACCGATTCGATATTTGAAAGACCCAGTACCTTCTTCAACGGTCGGCGCTAAAGTACACACAGGAAGAAATTTCAATTATAAATCCACGACAGTTACAATCCACAACGTCGACGGCAACATAGAGATGCCTGGTATATCTGCTTCCCGTAATTCATTTTTAAAATTTTCTCTACAACTCATCAGTAGTAAATTAAACTTTTCTAAGTTTATTAAGTACCGTAGGATGACTTCGATTAGCGAAATACTGGAAAGCTCTCCATATATCATAACCATTACGGGCAAGTTGCATTGCTCTTGGACTCAAAATTCACAGTTCCGTAACCATTCCAAAAGATCCTCTAGCTGTCGTGGATGTCGAGTTCCTCATCATGCCCATGGATTATCGCTTCACAACAAATACTAGAGTTCGCTGAATGGATCCCTGTTCCCCGAAAGGCCTGTCAATTTCTCCCTTCTTATTGTTTTAGTACTTGTGCTAGGTTCCAATAAGTTGGTGGCCGCATTAGTGTACCATGAGTTGAACATTCATATCAATTTTCGTGATGAAGATCAGGAGAAAAAGCAGAGTGTAATTGATATTATGCATCCGACCTAATCTTCGGGAGGCGAGGTCAATTCACTTACCGCGACTTGAGGGCACTCGAACATTATGGATGGTTTTTACTGAGAAAGCACTCTCATACCGTACGTATACCCGTTTGTGAAGCATCGTCGCTGGTCTCGATTCATCACTCGTATGTGAGCTGAGAGCCGTACTATGAAATATTCCACAACCCTTTCCAGTCAATCGCGGTACTAAAACATCGAAGGCTTCAGTCATTGTCGGTTTGCAATGTCAAGAACCTTCCACGTCCCAAGTTAGGCGCACTTCATCGGGAGGTCATGGCCACTTTGAAAGACAACTGTTTGCTGTAGAACGCGTTAGACAAAAATCTTTAACAGGTTCAAAAACTGAGCACTATGTTTGGGATATCCACTTACCACCGGTAACAGCATGTTGAAGAGAATGTACAGTAATTGCAATAGATTGAATGCGTGCGCCAGCAAGGCGTATATTGCCACTCGTGCTGGTTCAGTCCGGAATAAAAAGGGAGATAATTTTGTCAGAAAATACAGCACAAAGAATGGCTTGCTCAAAATGCGGCCGAGCACCCTTGCGTTCCATATCCTGATCACCCAGAACTCAATGAAGGAAGTGTATGTTAAGATGGGGAAACTCTGTATAGTCATGAAATGAAACTATGGTTGAATTGAAGGATACAATAATAACCACAGCAATAGCTGTAGGTGTGCCAGAAAGATACTAGTTCATTCTCTCCAATCTGAGAAACGAGATTGTTGAGCAATGTCAAGCCGTCCCGAATGCACCACTGACTAACTCGGTTGATTGCGTTGCAACAAGTGATCCAATCCAATTCTCTCGGTCCAACATTTTCTGCTGAGTAAGCTGAATATTCAGGCGAGACGCATCTTTTCGTTGACTGTTCTTTCACCGAATAAATCGTACTTCTGAGAAGCTCCTATGTGGATATCTTCAGAAAGTGATGTCCATCAAAAATGGGCGACATAGGTACAGACACCATAACGATATGCGTTTCTATTAAAGATACGGATCGGTACTGTCGACAATAATTGCGGTCTTTTTTAACTGCCATTGGTCCTGGAGCAGGCACATTACCAAATTTAGCAAGTCGGAGATGTCTTCCATCAATTTATCGACAGGGACAACCGTTCACGAAAAATAATCATTCTAGAATTGGAAGTGGTTCGTCAAGGCAATAACAGTGGTATCCTTGGCAATACCGGGCTTACAAATTCCGGAAAGCTCCTTCCAGAAGAAAAAGTATGTGAGAACTTGTTGACAGGTGCTGTCAGAAAGATGGTCGAGAATGTTTTTGTCTCCAGAGAATGTAGTAGGCCGATAATGGTTAAACCCGCCTAATAAAAACCTACAGATTGGGAGGGCGCAAAATAAATAAAGAAACGCATGTATTACTACGTTGTTCGTATCATCTATCGGAATGGCTTACATTACGGAAGTAACTTCACGATCGGAGATTAACAGCGATTGTTTGAGTTTAAGTTGGAAGGTATAAATCAGGCCAACGTCACTTGTGGCCAACAGATCCGGCAAACAAAACTAGAGGATGAACTGTAAGGGATAGTCACTAGAAAAGCATTCCTATTTAGTAAACACATAATCTGCAAGAAACATACGTAAACTATCACGAAGAAGTAGTATGTCATTCATAGCAGATATACTGCTATATCAGAAAATAGAAAACGTACATTCTTGGTCTTCTAGGATGGTGTCTTCCAAGCTAGGCATTACGGGGTGGGCCAACCACTTTCTGTAAGTCCTGTTGACAAGGTAAGGGGCCGAACATTGTTTGAGGTGGGCAGTCAGGGCATAGTTCGGTTTATCATACATGGAGGGTATTCTCTAATTCGGAACGGGGTATAATATAAAGTAGGGTTGTCATGTGGTCGAAATGAGTTTAAATTTTGATGCTTTTGGCCAAAATGATCTCGACAATTTCCTATCAGATGTATTGGTGCAGAGATCAGAAATTGCATGAGCCGAATTCACCGCTTGTATCACCATTGTACCGTAACATGGGAAAGATATGCTTTTTCTTTCTTTATCTCCCAGGCATTGACGTACCCAAAAAAAATGAAATCAGCTACTGAAAATCGTGGCTGGGGAAATCACTCCACGCACAGTCGCATGAGCTACCATATATGGCATATGCGGGTGGTACTTTATTGACAGGAGCCACAAAAAAAGAGAATTTAAGAAAACCCTCTGGCGAAGAAAAAGGAACAATATTGGCATGCGATCTTATTCACGCAGATCCAATGAAAATCTGGGATTTCTGTTTCACTTTCTCGGTATGCCTTAAAAATAGGTTTTTCTGGGGAAGAAAAAAAAAGTGGCGAGTTGTTCATGTCATTTATTGAAGACACGTCAGAGCGGAAAACGAAGAATCTTATGAACAAAGGATCACATTGCATTATGAATGTATCATTGGAAATATTACTAGTTTTTCATGAGTGTATATTTCTGTTAGTTCTTCTCATGGAGCGCCTTTTTCTCACTAAAAGGAGAGAGCCGGCATGGAGAATATTAACAACGTTCATCTTATCTACGGCTATTTCTTTCCGATAGCCGCCGGTCTGGAAAAAAGCTCACGTACCCGACTATCTTAATTATTCTTGAACCGGTGACAATGGTCCACATTTGCAAGTTGCCCCAAGGAAAAAATGATGGGCTTTTAAAAGCAAGGAATCAAGGTAATGAGTATTTGTAGACAATCATGGATGCGATGCAGTGCTTAGTTGCCCATTTATTGCTGTCGATCTTTGTTTCGTGTAATAAAAAAAGAATTACAATGAAAGATGCACACATTGAGTGATAATAGGATTGGGAGATGATCTGCAGTAAACCAATCAATGGGGTGCATGAGAAACACGGCGACGTGATGGTTTCAGGACTTTGTTTACGTTCCGATCCTTGGGATAGTTTGTTAAGTGGGTTACTTGGCAGCAATTACCATACAGATGCCTTTTTTTTTACAAATTTCCTAGAAGAGGTATTCTTCGAGATGGCGTGTAACATCATTGGTCTGCTTATCTGGCGGCGGCCATATTTGTATTTCTTTAAGATGAGCGGGCGGGTTTTTGCGGGCAGAACCAGTCACAAGCGCAGATAAGCGTCGGATTTCTACACTATTAATACTGGACCTTCTTCCAGCCGGAAACGCTTCTTCTTTGTCTTTCTCTCTCCAACAAATTTCCACCCCAATGGCTTTCTTGTTGAAATCCTTGCCCGCTGCTGCGTAAGTGATCCTTACTTGCCTCTTAAGATTTCATCTACCGTAAAACCGAAAAAAAAGGTCCGTTGTCTCATCGCATCTATACACCTCTAGTGCCGCCACTCGCCCCTTGGCCGCCACCACCATGCGCCGTGCCGCCATGCCCGCTATCATGCGCTCCATGTCCACCTGTAATTATCCTTCTGGTTTTTTTTTATTTATGGGAAAAGTGGGGTGATAAAAAAATGAGATCAATTCTCAGTCAGATGTGTTACTGGATAAATCCCTGGGAATATTTTATTTTTTCTTATGTGCGGGGTTGACTGACGCGTTGTTTGTTTTTTTTTATTAGCCGCCAACAGCGCCTGTGAACCTGATGAGCCCGTCTTCTTGCAGTGTGTCGAACTCTACTACGACCGTGCTGCCAAGCTCAGCGGTGTCAACCCTGGTACTCTTGCCCATCTCCGTGCCGTTGACAGCATGCTCCGTGTCACCTTCCCCATTGAGTTGGAGGATGGCAAGTACGAAGTCATTGAAGGTAAGACTCAGAGAAAAGAAAAAGTACGTGCGTATTCGGGACCCGGTCAATTAAAACATGATGTTTCGCAATAGGTTACCGTGCCCAGCACTCTCGCCACAGATTGCCCGTCAAGGGTGGTATCCGTTACTCCGAGGAAGTCGATCTTCAGGAAGTCGAAGGTATGCATCGTTTGCGTACATCATGGGTTTACAACGAACCCCTGCGATGTCCTTTTTTTTGTTTGTTACAAGAGACTTACATGTTTGCGTTCTAATTTTAGCCTTGGCCTCCCTCATGACCTACAAGTGCGCCGTCGTCGATGTTCCTTGTAAGTAACTGGGAAAAAAACGGAAACTAAAAAAGGAAAAGTCAAGCTCATTATCCATCATAGTCGGTGGTGCCAAGGGTGGTATTAAGATTGACCCCAAGAAGTACACTGTCGATCAACTCGAAAGAATCACTCGTCGTTACACCATGGAATTGTGCCAGAAGAAGTTCATGGGTCCCGGTATTGATGTCCCTGCTCCCGATGTGGGTACTGGCGGTCGCGAAATGTCCTGGATCATGGACACCTACCGTCAATTCAACGCCGACGATGTGAACGCAGCTGGCTGTGTCACTGGTAAGCCTTTGTCTTTGGGCGGTGTCCGTGGCCGCACTGAAGCCACCGGTTTGGGTGTGTACTACGGTATCCGTGAATTCTTGAGCTACCCCGAAGTCCAGAAGAAGACTGGTTTGAGCGGTAAGATCGAAGGTACCAGCGTCATCGTCCAAGGTTTCGGTAACGTCGGTTACTACGCTGCCAAGTTCTTCGAAGCCAACGGTGCCAAGGTCATCGGTGTTGGTGAGAGAGATTGCGCCATCTACGATCCCAACGGTTTGAACGTTGAGGATCTCTACAAGCATCACCGTTCCAGCGGTTCCTTCCGCGGTTACTCTGCTTCCGCCAAGATCCTCGAAGATCCCATCAAGATCCTCGAAGAAGAGTGCGATATCCTTATCCCTGCTGCTCTTGAACGCCAGATCGGTCTCCGTAACGTCGACAAGATCAAGGCCAAGGTTATTGGTGAAGGTGCCAACGGTCCCGTCACCCCTGCTGCTCACGAATCCCTTGAGAAGCGCGGTGTTGTCGTTGTTCCCGATTTGTTGTTGAACGCCGGTGGTGTCACCGTGTCCTACTTCGAATGGCTCAAGAACTTGTCTCACGTCCGTTTCGGTCGTATGAACAAGAGATGGGACGAGACCAGCCGCACCAAGTTGTTGGAAGTTGTCCAGGAAACCGCTGGCCGCCAGCTCACCGAAACTGAACGCAAGGCTGTTGTCCACGGTGCCGAGGAAGCCGACTTGATCTACTCTGGTTTGGAAGATACCATGATCCAGGCTTGTGAGGAAACCCGCAACACTGCCAACATCAAGAACACTGACTACAGAACCGCTGCTTTCGTCAACGCCATCCAGAAGATCGCCACTGTCTACGAAGGTTCCGGTATGATCTTCATGAACTAAATGTGATCATCTGAAAAACTCCACTTTTTCTTCTCTCCATCCACTCCGCTGCATCACTCTTTTACAGAGATGGTGTTATTCTTGTCATAGAATTTTGAATCGTTTTTCTTTTACTTTCTGTGATTGTAATTCATTTAATCCATATAAAAGAACATATTATACATTCTACTTGATTGTTTGTGGTTGCTGCTTCTGGTGTATGCAAGGTTTACTTTATCGGGTTACTCACTGGGTGCATGGACTTTTAAAAAATTGCGTGATGCAGCCTTTTCAATTCCGATTCATCCTCAGCTGTTTGACGTTTGCTCTTTCCGGAAAGTAAATTCCTTTAATGGCGAGAAGAAAAAACTTCATGACAAATCCCCGCATTGCTGCCTTCGTCTGATGGCTGGAGCAAAAATCCGTTAGTCTTGGTTACCCTGTTTAGCCTGCTTGGCTGATAAACCAGATGTTCTGCTGCCGACAAACAAGTCTTGGGCATCCTTGGATATATAATAGCATACTAAATGCTCACGATTATACACTCGAAATCACAGATAAAACGAGCATTCAATCCTTGCTTGAAAAAATGGGAAAGGTTCTGTTATCAAGAGTATGGCAGAATGCGTTTGGATTGGGTTCGTAATGGGAAAAACGCAGAATGGCATGGTCAAAGTTCCCAAAACACGAACAACAAGAACAACTATTCTAGGCACCATTTTCTGCTGAGGACCTAAATGAATGCAGCGTTCGGCTTCCTCAACTCCCCTATTTTCAATGAAAACAAAAAGCGAGGAGATGTCCTTACACCGATAAGCAAGAGAACGGTCACCGGAGACTATGTGAGCTTTCGAAAAGCCACGATGAATGAAATGGACCATTAGCCACACACGAAAGGCCATCACTCAAGATCTCACCATATCCATAAAATCCCGCATCTATTTGCCTTCATATTCTTCTGAGATCAATCCAATCGAGCAATTCTGGTCAGTGGCCAGAAGTAAAGAGAAACGCAGCAAGATCTTGAGAAGAAACGTTAATGACCCCGATTATAATAGTGAAATGAGACTTCCAATAGCTTCAGGCTGAAGTGATTTCGACCTTTTCTTAGACATTCTCATAAAATGCTTGGACAAGTATCGTAACGGGCAAGCGCTCTAATGAAGGTATCATTCCACGAAAACAAACAAATAAATAAGAGGCTCGGCATTTGCTCAAAAGTGGACCAAGCAAGTTAGAAAGGGCACGCTTTTGTTTTTTACCAGTTGATTAAAAAAATCAGGGGCATATGCGAATTATCGAGTCTTGTTATATCAGCAATCGGGAAACCTGAGAGGGTTAAATTACCAGCGAGGCAAGGTCAAGTCAGCGAGTCAAGGTCAAGTCAGCGAGTCAAGGTCAAGTCAGCGAGTCAAGGTCAAGTCAGTGAGTCAAGGTCATCTAGGTGACGTGATGTTTTCTTTGTTTGATTTCTTTGTTGTTCACTTCCTGATCTTTTCCCACCATTTCTTACTCATAATTTTTCCGTCTGCGATCTATGATAATCAGTTAGCGATCTTTAGTTATCGTATCCCGATCATTCTCTCGGTTTTGATCTGAATCGACATATGGGCAAGCCTGCGATCTGGTTCTTTGGCTTTCCTCCGACAGAAGAAACCCGTAACTGGAACAAGCTTTCTCAATGTATGTTACATGGATTCACTGGGACCTATGCGTCCCATTGCAGTTGGCCGAGATTTGATTTCGCGCGATACTTTCAATCAAAAGTATTCCGGACCACTTTAATGGAGAACGCCTTCGGCCTATATTTCTTCCTTTTACCAGGCAATACCTTTGGTATTGTTTCGTCCATACCTCACTGCTTTCCCTGGGAGCCCGTCGGAGACGCCTGGTCATTCCACTGACAACACCCACGATTCCGAAACTGGTGGCAACAACAGCGATGACGTTGAGGATGACGAACTTTTGCCCCTCACAAAGGCAGCTGTTTTGCATGTGCTAAAACGAGTCTTGTCAAGTAGCGAACCCTACAACAGCGAAATGTACGAAAGTACGTTTGTAGACCAAGCTGTCATGGAGTCATTGCTGTTGAGTATTTGTGGCGAGCGGCATTCTCTCGTGTGGATCGATGGATCAGTTCCGACGGCTCATTCGGTGGAGCATAAGAGTTCGATAGTCCTCGAGATAAGTGCGTGGTCGCTGGCTTTCCATGCTCAAACAAGAGTACCAAAAGCCGTTCAATTTCAAAAGAGCATACTTGCAGGAAAAGCCAGACGTTGTCACAATTGGCTATGCCCACAAATCTCACGGCAAGGGAATCTCCCCACACGTGATCGATTGTCACAATCAATGATCGAGAGACTACGCGATCGATGCTTAGCTCGGAAAGTATTTGTTTCGCCTCGTTGCAGCGCTTTAATGCCGCTGAATGACCGTGATAAGAAGCAAGGCGACAATGGCATCATGACCAGATAGTCTTTCAAGGTTCCAGTCATGGCGTGTAAAGACCTCACTGTTCCTGCTACCTCAACGTCTTGCGATTTTAAAGCGAAATTTGCCAGCTGGAAAATAATACGTGGCTTATTTACAATTGACAACTTGATTTGAGCGTGCGGTGACAAGGCAAAGCCCATAAATTAAGGTTGAGGTGTACGTTACATTGCGCAGGTGGTCGATTTGGCCGATTATACTTGTCTTCCGTCATATTGTGAGCTGTTCTAGTGTGCTATCGGCATCGCTCGCAGCCATCCAGACAACAGTTTGGTAACGCTGCTCTTCCATGTAGCTCGGGAGGCACGCCAATCCATTCCATGGCATCATACAGTGGCAGGTCCCTGGCTTCCTTCGTTCTCCCGCATTGGCATAGCAATTCTTGTATTCCGACAAGGAAATCAAAGAAATCAAAGGATCCGTGAAGCTCTTCGATCTCAAGAGATACAGGCATTCGTACTTTAGTATTATTTAATGCAAGACATCTGTCACGAGGAAGAGGAAACAATTCGGCCAATAGATAATTGGACCGCTGTTCAAAAGCACGATTATGTATTAGACGTGGGAGATAAATTGAGGCGTATTTGGGGATTATGTAGTAGTAGTAATTTTGTTTGGCTAGGGTAGATGATGATGAAGGTTTAAGCCAGTGGAACCCAGTCTTTTGGGTTTGTAAGGACATCAAGAAGCTTGGCTTCTCTTGATTCCGGTTCAGGTTCGTGCATGTATTCCCAACGAGCCGTCAGCGGGAGCGTCATCATGATGGCTTCAACACGAGCACAAGGCGTTTGCAATCCAAAACGCGTACCACGATCCCACAACAAATTAAATTCGACATATCGGCCTCGGCGTAGCTGTTGCCAATGGACCATCTCCGGTGTGTATTCCATCGCCGAGCGCTTCTTCAAGATAGGCACGTACGAAGGCAGGAACGAGTCGCCGCAAGCTTGGACAAACGGGAAGATCTCTTCAGCCGGTTTACGGTTGAAATCGTCAAAAAAGATGCCACCAATACCACGTTGCTCTCCTCGATGGGTATTCTTAAAATAATCATCACACCATTTTTTGAATTCGGGGTAGTAGTCCTTGTCGAACTTATCGCAAGCGTCTTTGTATGTTTGATGGAAGTGAACTGCATCTTCCTCGTACAGGTAGATGGGTGTAAGGTCGGCACCGCCACCGAACCACCACATCTTGGGGTTGCCGTCGGGACCCATAATTTCAAAATAACGATAGTTCAAGTGGACCGTCGGGGCATTTGGATTTTTGGCATGCATGACCAGTGAGATGCCAGTGACAAAAAATGGAAGAGGCTCGTCAGATACTTCAATAGCTTTACCGCGGTCTTGACGCATTTGTTCTATTGCTTCCTTGGACAGTTCGCTGTACACAACGGATACCGCTACACCCGCCTTTTCCATCACATTCCCGTCTTGCATGACGCAGGTGATGCCTTCACCGCCGTGAGGGCGTTGCCAAACTGAGCGTGTGAACTTTTTACCATCCACGGCTTCAATACCCTCTACAATTCGATTTTGCAAGTCTTTCACATAGGCTTCCATGCGCAGCCGCATAGGGTCGCTGGCAGTCACAGGACCCTGAGCTCTCTATTTAAGAAAGCGGAACTTCGTTAGGCAAAGATCAGATATAAAGACTTATCGTCTATTTTGCTTACTCTTTGGTTGTCTTGTTCCAAGATTTGTTGTTTGTTAGCCATATCAGGTCGGTTTGTACTAAAAGTGCAGCGGAATAAGCAAGGAAAAAAAATTGACAAGACAGGAAATTCTGACAGAAAGACTTTATTATTAGAATTTAGTGGCGTGATAAAAAATAAAAATATTCTCTTGCCGTGAAACCATCTTCCGGAAAACCAAAAGCTCTAAATTGAAGTCAATTGTGATCAATCAGGTCTCAGGAACGTCTTTGCTGCAGACATTGCCGCCAGAGAACATCAGGTCCTGAACGTATGATAAGCATAAAACTCACTCACACTTGGATAGAAACTGTCGAAAGGTCTTGCAAATTGCAAGCAAGATAAAATTCTCTCACGTGAGCACTGTCGAAAATCCGTGGATAAGGTACTCTCTGAAAATAATCGCTAAACGCGACATTGACCAAGATTTCAGGTTGCAAAGGGCCGAGACACCATCGCAACCGTCATGAGCGCTCGAACATGGGCATCATATCTGATCCCCAAAATCATCCCCAAAAATCAAACACCGTGCACCGTTGTTTCAAAAATGAGGATCAGATTGGGCAATCTCAGCCATTTGGATTCAATTGCCGCACCCATGGTGACAAGGGATCCCAGTCACTGCAGCATGCTGGTTTCCCAACGCTCAAAACGGACTTTTTTTTTTTTTTTTTTACTTAGCCACTTTTACGTTGTGATGGCAACGGCTGACTAGAACACAAAAGAAACAAGCGGGCACTACATTACAAACTCATTTTTTCATTGCACAGTGATATGTTTGGCGAAAAAAAAAAATGTCAAGTCGATTGGAGACCTTGAACGGTGAGAGTATAAAAGAAACGTTCAATGTACTATGATAACTTTATTTTGGTCTGGCAGATCAACGGAGGATGGGCAAAAGCAAAATCAGAGAAAAACTCCCCGATAGAGCCTACATGATTACGAATGGCTTCGAAAGAAGCATAATCATGTCCCGATATACCGTCAATCGGCGTTACATTAGGTTTCTAGCAAATTCAGCACCTTGCGGGACTGAGTCGCCTGCTGAAAAAAGACAAATTGTGGGTGGAGGCGATGATGTTCCGTCACGGGGTCGCTTGGTTCCCCTGACTCACTCTTTATGTTCTTGGCCTTCTATCTAGTACTTTTACTCTGTAGTTTATCTTTCCTTCAAGTGTTTGATTAACTCTCAACGAACATATCAAGTTTGTGAGCTGTGTACATTTTTTGAAGATCAAGGACAAAAAAATACCTTCTTTGCTTTTTTTAATTTAGCCCGAGATTCATTGATTCGGGAAGCTGGCTTTCCTGCCATCCAATCAGGATTGAAACTACCCAAAATATAAGCGCCTTTCTCAATTGTTTTCCCCGCTCAGCTCTTTTATCGTCTTTTTTCTTATATAGGATACAGTTATTTTCTTTTACCTTCTTTATTATTCGTCCTAAAATGTGGTTGGATAATTCCGGCTATGGTAAATATGCAAAGAGGGTGATTCAGTTATGTCACTTTTAGTAACTTTCTCTTTCCAGAACAACTTGGGCAACAACAGAAACATTACCCTTCTGAATCCACGGGTCGATTGGATTATTACACCGAGGAAGATGACGAAACCACTGTAACGGGGGGGACGATGAGTACGCTGCTTGATCAAGACAACGCTTATTTACCAGCATTATCACCTTCAAATGAAACACCATTACCCATCGTTGCCTTTCAGGAAGAAATGGAAAACCTCAATGATTCCCGGATTTCGCGTTACCAAAATACCTATTTTATGGATGGGGGAAGTCGATTCATTTCGGTACGCAACCATGACACAAACACACATTATAGTCGTGTGCAGTACAAAAGCACTTCTCATTAATTGGTCGTTATAGCTCCCCACGCTTGGTAACACCAATACAAAAACGGCTTCTCATATTTCTCGTGTATTCGAGGATTGGTTGCAAAACAAATTATACAACCAAAGCAATGACGGCCTAGATCGCTTACCCATTCTCGAGGACAGTGCTGAGTTGGTTGCCGAAGATATTCTCAACAAGCTCAAGTCACGCATGTCATTACGAGGTCTTCTCGGATTAGACAAAATTTACATCAAAGTTCGAACGGGCCATGTTTATACCTACCGTCAATTGGAAAACGGACAACCCATGATTACAGAAGACATGGAAGGTTTCTTCCAACAATTTCCTCTTTTTGTCGAAATTGCCATTAGCACCATGGCCCGCAATACCAATGATCGCACAGCTAATGTCTCTTATGATGGAGATCTCACTGTCCAACTGCTGTTGTCATTTGAGAATATGACCATCAATGCCGGTGATCCCTACAAGATCATGGAAGATGTCCAGTTATCAGCTTGAAGACGATCCTCTTGTATCGAACAAGCGTGAACCATACTTTTTTTTATCCTTTTTATTTTTTGCCTATGTTCGCTCATCTCCCTATTCATTGTTATGTGTAAATACAAATATTATTGAATTACCCATCTGAATCAGACTCATATGTCACCAGCGCTAATGATTTCCCTAGGTTTATTTTCATATGGCGGAATTAATCACAGTTTTTTGTAGATCCAACACTATGACTTACCTTTTTCTCTCTTGCTATCGTTGTTTTCATCTATATCAGTTGACCTTTTCCGTTTACTTAGGTGAATGGTGACTTTGGAAGAACCATCTTCTGATGGTTGTTTTTTTTGTTTCAACTTGCTGAAACTGGCGTTCTTCAGGAATGGATCTGTCTTTAGACGGGTATGCATCGAGGCGCGAAATCCGAGTTCTTTGGCTGGGTTGTCTTCGATGGAATGGGATAAATTTGAAGCAAATAAAGGTGAAGCGGTCTTTTCCAATTTCATCTTTTCTGCAGAGGATGATGCCGGATCTAAGCACCAGGGGCGAAAAAAAAAAGGTAGAACCACAGACCAATAAGCATCAGTCTATCCTGAACCACTGTGATGTCCTCTGACAAAAACTTGCCTGCATAGGTCATTAATTTAGCTTGGATTTGATCCGCAGGATCTTCGGGTAAAAGCTCGATCTGTAGCGAATGTTTATCCCGTAAACGTTCGGTCTTCTCCTGAATGGCTTTGTCTTTTTTCTTCTCTTCACGAAATTTCCGTCGTAGTGCTTGAGAGCGAGCATATGGATCTTTCCATAGGGCATCATTCAAGTCTTGCAATTGCGTCAGATGGGGTTTACTCTGGTCAAGTATTTTTTCATCTTTGATGCCGTGCTCTAATCGATAGATCGGATCACTTTCTAGCTTTTCTTTGGTGTCTTCATCTATCATCTTGTGAGCAAGCTGAGCCTGCCAAAGCATAAAACATATCCCAGATTACCTTGGAGGCGTATCACTTCGGTATCCTCGGGCTCCCATTCTTCGACTTTTTTTTTGGCCCCACTCACTACGACATAAGCGGTATTCTAGCAGTGACTGCATCAGTTGATGTGTACGCAGCCAAACCGCGTTTCCGGGTGTACTACCTTTGGGTCCGTTTGTATCTCAATCCAGTTGCTACATAAATGACATCGCATCCGAAACTGCAGTATAGGCGTGCTGTAATAATTGCCAATTTTCTTTTTCTCGGCATTATATCGAACACCTGTTTCTAGTGTGAGACGCTTAAAAGCCCATATGATGACATAGTTATTGTTACCTTTGCCAATATGATTATCACAGCCTGTGCACCATATATTGAAAGGCAGTTCGAATCTGTCGCGCATTCAGATGTGAGAAGTTTACACCATGACATAGAAAATCAGGTATTACCGAACGACGAGAATGCCTTGATCGATTTTTCGTGCTCGATCGCCTAACGGATGCTTTCCCACAAACTGATTGACTGTGCCCTTGAACGTTATGGTGAGAAATCAGGACACATGACCGATCCAGACCTATTGAGAATTACCTTGTCCGGGGTCCAATCGGGTGGGTAGTACTTATTGAAAGGTTGCATTGCTCAAGAAACACAGATCGCGGAAGAATCCCTGGAAGCGGCATTTTTGTCCTCTTCGCTTGTGTGACTGTGATGATTTTTTTGAAATCATACACACTGTTTGCTAGCCCACAGGCACTGATGTAAACCTTTAGTTGCGTTTACTCAATAAGTCTGACGCTAGAAATGAAGGATTGAAAAGAAGTTATACAGCATCACGTATTCTGTTACTGTAGGAATATTGTTCGAGTCAAAATAAGCAAATTGTATCAAGGGTTGTCTTGACGTTGCATAATTGTACACCATTTCCAGTCGTAAATTCATACTCTTATCCATAAATTCTCATTTGCGTTTTTCGTAAGCAGGGAACGTATGGTATTGGGGTCTGAGATGCTTTCCAATGAGAGCGCAACAGCAAAAAGCAACGATACCAAGCTGAAGCAATCATATCAATGTTATTTAACCGATAAAGGTTGAGAATGTGAAGCTCACTGACGAGAAAAGTGAGTGAAGACAGTTAAAGTTGATATACGTCAACAGAAACCATGGTTACTAGTAAATTATGAATAGAAACCAAGGCATGAGTCATCATGTGAGGCAAACGTTTGGAAATAAATAATCAACCTACCCCTAGGGCATCTAGATGTGGGAACAGCGATAACTGATCCGGATGATATCATGAATGTTTTGGAATCTTGCTACTCGAGGCTTCCGCTTCGGCCCGCTTCCTCTTGAAAAGTGTCGGCCTTTTGTTATTCTCCCGGTGGCCAAACAGGATCTTGCGGAAATTAAGGACTGCAGCCTAGTCGCGATTCCATAATTTATAGCCATGATCGTGTTTACATTTTTGATTTGTGTATCTAAGAATAAGCGTGAGCAAGCACATTCAAAGTCAAGTTCACTTCATTCATCGGTTATCTTATCAGACCATGGCATAATGCTTCTGGCTGCTTCGTTCGTCGGTATGGCCTTGGATTGGGCACCTTGAAATTTTCCAACGCATCACCGCAGTCAGGACAGCACGAGGACATTTTGAATTCATTGAGCAAGTACACATCAAAACCTTGATTCTTGAGCATCCGTCGCATGCCTAAACCTCCTCGGCTCATGGAACTTGACATTGGTGCTGACCAATTTCCCATTTAAAGCCTGGTCCCACCCAAAGCACAAATTTATGGTTCTCGCCAATCGAGAATCTGCTTGGCATTGATTGAAATAGGCTGAGAGGCGCAGTTTTCGGAAAAGAGGGTATCCTGATAGGTTTCGACGACGTGTTCGCATAGAAATTCGATAGTACCCGAGATACGCTTGCGGTTTCCCGTAGATTGCGACAATACGTCTTGAGGTCATTGACTGAAATGGGATGTTGTGATAATTTTTCCTGCGCAGTCTTGATATTTGGGAATTGGCTGACTAATGTTTCTCTGATCCTTCTGTACTTTTTCGTCTTCAATTCATTCGCCTTCTGGCAAGAGGTGTAACGATAGAGAATCTTTGCGTTTGTTCGGAGTACTCGTGCATGCAGAAAAGTAAATCTCTTCTTCCTGGGTCGACCAACACACAGCGGCCCTCCAGGCATTTTTGCTCAATTGGAACAAGCGAGTCAACGTACGGTACAGCTTCGTCCAGAACCATCGCCTTTTTTTGCCGGCCTCCTTTGCGACTTGCGAAATTTTGCTTGATGACACTCACCCCTACGCCATCAGTCTGTAGTGTTCCATAAAATGAAAAACCTTTGCCCTTCGTTTGCTTGAAAAGTCTGCTGTCGAGATCCACGACCCAGCTCCACAGATCAAGGTCGCTTAGTCCTTTAACCGCTTCTTCGGTTCAAGTTGAGAATTTGCGTATATAGGATCTGCGTGTCAATCAGCATGTACCGTGGCGACCAGGCAGTACGAATCGGGAAGCAGGTGAAGGAGCGCCAAACTCGTTGAGAAAATATACCAAGATAACCGATAAAATGTACGAAAATGGTTTTCAGGGGAAGCTTTGACATCATAATAAATACTATCTTTCGCGAATTGATATGTCGATGCGTAGCAATTGAAAAATGATTGCAAAAAATCATGGTGTGCCTGAAATGGAGAATCAACGTGCGATTTTTTTTTTTTTTTTTTTTTTTTTTTTTGCGATATCGAGTTTGAACTTCCTTGCGGGCTCGTAGATTTCTGTTGAAAGTCTTGTTGATATTTCACGATGAGATAAGCCCTCGTTTTGCAACTATGTTTTAAGGTTGTTTCGCCGGTTTTTATGTCAAGAAGCAGATTAACCAGGCGCCGCAAATGTTGTCCAAAGCGATACTTGACATTGTTCATATATGCGGTCTATATCTGCTTTGCTTGATATAGTGCAATTTGCTGGGCGTTGGTAATCTGGTGGCGTGTACGATGCGTGGCGGCAAAACGACTCGACATACGGATGATCAGATCGCGATAGGTTCTGGTCGCCGCTCTGACGGTGCTGCTTCTCGTGCGTCTGTGAGCGAGAGGAAGACTTCAACGAAAAAGCCTTCTTGGACATAAGCGTGAAGCTCGAACCCGTCGTTTCTTGACAACTCTGACAGGAAAATGTCAGGAAAATGTATTTCGCGAATAGAAAAGTGTGTTTGGTGAGGTTATGGACGAGAACTACGAGCTCACGCAACGGTTGGATGAACTCTTCGCGCCACCCGATGGCCTTGATGGAGGTTTTGATAACAGAAACTTTTTTGGAAGAAATGATGAGTACAGTTTTAGGAAATGAGGAGATATAGACGAAGAGGAAGATTTACCAGAAAAAAACCAGCGTACTCATGCTTTATATCTATTCTGTGACTCGCAATCTTTGGACGGTCTGTGCTGCGGCAGCCTAGGCTGCTCACGCCAATGAAGCTTCAAGCGATAAGCCTGTAGACGTGAAGACAAACTAGCATGCTGGATTTAATGAGTTCATGGGGTATTCTAATATCTGGAAAGGATACTCGTTTGGTTCCAGACGTTGAGTTTTTCTTTCAAAGGTGCTTTTGGGCTGCGATGACGGTTGGCATTTCTGACTTCGAAATTGCCATAATGCATGGTGAATCCTCCACCCAAGGCTGATAACAAAGTCCACTTTATCAATGCATACAAGAGATGTGGGCCAGCTAGTACTGATAATATTTATTTTGATGATAAATAAAGTGCCATATTTGTGCTTGTGATACACATGCTCAAACTCCGGGCCCGGGCTTGTGTCTCTAGGATTACGTTCGACCTTATGTCAGATCATATTCCAGCTATGCTTCAGGCACCATGGACTTGCAAACAGATTTTTAACATGTAAAAAGTGGATCTCCAAATTGATTTGCGTGATGAGGAACGACAATAGACACAGTCAAACCTTGTACATTTGTCTAAAAGACAATCGTCGTCCATATTACATCGAGTTTGATAATGGAATGCCACCTGGCAAATAACACTGTTCTACCGTTTTCATTTGGATTCGGATTATCTTGTTTCCACAACTGGTGCAAAGATGTGTAAATTTCACTTGATCGTAGTCCACAGTCTCCTTCTTTTTTATCCAGAGGCATGATTGAAAGATATAAAAAAAACACAAAAAGAATAAGAGGTGGTTAGTGTAGATCATCTGGAGAGCTGTGATTTACAAGTCAGGTTTTTTTACACAGTTGTGCCCAATCAAATGTATTGTTTTTGCTTTTTAGCCAATCAGAGACCGTGTACATGATTTAACAAACTCTCAAAGATTCTAATATACAATATCATACAGTATCATATCATACCATGTACAGCAAGAGGGGTTCAAAAATTGTACAATGAGCAAGCGACTGCGATTTATTGTGCCCGAGTTTTTACCGTGATCTGTGGGCGTCCCTGGAATGTGTAATGCCTGAGTTCGATTTGGTTATTGCATCGGCTAACAACTACCCGGTACGGAGCCCGAAGCAAGATGGCTCTTTATAGAAAATTTGTGATATCTTACTTTTGAGAAATGGCATGTTGGGCCAAAGACGCTTTTAAAATTACAGGATACTGCCGACTTAAAACTCGATAGCTTCCAGCTCAATGAGTTATCCTTCATGTTCCCAGAAACAAGGCAAAACTAAGAGAAAAAAGAATGTTGGTATGCTTTATATCGGTAGTGACACCAAACTTTTGGTCATCATCATTCCTCCTTTTACGGACCTCAACTTTGAGTTGATAGTCATACTATGCGTATCCACAAGTTTGCTAGTGGCTTATGCTTGAACAGACGTATTGCAAGTACTATGCACCGGTAATATCAGGCAGACATGGAAATGCATGAATGCGCATACAGCATGCCACAGCAGACGCAACGATTCAGAATTCTCGGTGCACAGTTTCAGCCAATAACGTGTGTGTCCAATCACGCGCGGCAATTTCAGCTTCCGTTAAGCACTTCCAAAAAAGAGCCCGTTTAGGCTCTCGTCAGCAAATGTCACATTCTGTGTCACCAGCAAGCTATGGATTGGTTGCGATTGGACCGGTCAATTCGGGCCTTCCAATCTGTTATCTCCGACAAATTGGAGTGGTCGGTTTTTTTTTATATTTCTTGTTCCTTTGCTTCTTCCACTCTTGTTACGCTTAGACAAACTTTCATTACCCCCCACTCTTTTTTAAATATGGCTGCAATTTATTCCTTAGACGATGTCTCCAAGCACAACACCAAAGATGATTTATGGATGGCTATTCATAACAAAGTCTACAACATCACAGAATTTATCTTGGAGGTAAGCCTATCGTTTTTGTCAATGATAGTCAAGCTCAACTAACCATAAACAATCACAGCACCCTGGCGGTAAGATGTCCAATAACGAAAATATTCAAATAAACGTTTGATCTGATAAATAGACTAGGTGAGGAGGTCTTGATTGATGAAGCAGGTAAATAAAATACATATTCTACAATGAACAAGGAGGAAAAAGAGGGACTCATTGATGGGAATTTATCAAGGCAAGGACGCCACTGAAGCATTCGAAGATATTGGTCATTCCGATGAAGCACGTGAGGTTTTGGAAAAATACTACATTGGTGATCTCGATGAGGCTGTAAGTACAAGTGTGAGGTACTGGCGAAATGAGGACGTGGCATTTTTAACCTGGCAACCTTGATTTAGTCTCAGAAGAACACTCACAGCTTCAACGCTATCCGCGCCGGTGAACTTCCCGAAGAAAAGAAGTCTTCGTAAGTAGACTGGAATGACCATTCATTTTCAGATCTACATGGACTAACAATACAATAATAGTGTCCTTCGTGTGCTTTTGCCTGCTCTCGCCGTTGCCGGTGTTCTTGTCTACAAGTTTGTCCTTGCTCCCCAGCGTCATTAAGTTATGGTAACAAGGCGGCCGGTATTCTGAAAATGAAAAAATAAAAATAAAAAAATCAGAAAAAAATCCAGGAGCAGCCGATGTAAAGCAAGCCACAAATCATGCATACATCCCAACTCCTTCTCCTTTTTGCACTCTCATCTCTGCTAGTGAACATGAGATTGAATGTTCTCTTCCATCAGACATCGTTCTTACTCACTGGGTTATGGACAACGTTGGGCACACAGTGGCTTTTTTATAAGGGAGCGGCTAGTATGTTCCTTTTTTTGAACGTGTCTTTATGAAAACGTGATGCTGATATCTTGTAGACAGTCTGAGTTTTCTCACTCAGTTGTCTTCTTATATGGGCATGATATTGGTGGGGTTGTTGATCCCCTTGTTATTACGGAAAAGGCAGGAAGCTTATCAAGCTATACGATCCACTCTCGTTGATGTAACTTATTCTTGCCCGATTTATCCATGTATCGCCCCGTTCTCACATTTCGCAGATGAATGGTTTTGAGCTAGAATCACATGATAGGGTCCATAACACAGGTCCAATCGTCATTGAAAGCCCTGTATATCAACGGTCCGTGATGAAGCTCGCCATGGTAGATATCGTTGCGAATAGCTGTGCAACACTAGGATTTTCGTTAATTGGAAGTGGGGTAAGAAAATTCTTCAATGGCATAGAATTGAATGATGCTCAAAGAAAGCAAAAACGCCCTCATTAGATGTATCAAGTCATCTACAGCAGTGTGGTAATTTGGTGCGCCATACTCACCTATCTATTTATGAATCGCGTGCTTTCAAAGATCCAATGGGTTGCCATCTGTGGTACAAGTGTTGGGCTGGCCATCAGCTCACTGGAAAATTTAACGACGATCAATGCCTCAGGTACAAGTTTGGTCTGAACTTCAAAATTGACCTTTGTTCTCATTTTCTCAGGCAATACAAAATTATTGGCGTTTGGTACCCTTGTCACATTGGCTGCGACGTGCTTTTACGGTAAATCATCCCACTACGGTATTATTGGATCTGCGGTGTAAAAGGAATCTCACATGCCATTGTGTATTCCCATTAGCTTGTATGTACGTTTATTCGGATCATATCTTGAGTAAGGAAACGCCGTCGCCACTGCCAGCCCGTGTATGCTTCTTCACGGGTCTTTACACGACGTCCTTCACTGTTCTCTATATTCTTCTGTACACATGGCCGCGAATTGATCAAATGATCAAAATCGATTCGAGCACCGATTTACGCACGGTTGTGGCTGTGTATGGGCTTCTGACTTTGGCCAACGCCACGCACGCGTGGAATTATTATGAACTGATTGATTCTACAGGAAATGCAAGTTACCCTCATTGAAAAATATAAAACACAATATTGACCCTGATAATAGGTTGCGACTGGTATCTTGCAAGCTTTACGTGCGATCCTGGTGTACATCATTAGCCACCTTTGGTTTTGCGCAACCGACGCGGCTCAATGTAAGTAGTCCTAAATATCCTTTTTTCCCTTATCTTGCGTTCTCAGGCATATATGTTCTCTAGGTTTGACCATGACCAAAGCCTGTGGATCTTTGCTTGTGATAGGATGTGTGCTGCTTTTTACGCTGTCAAAAGTCGATAACGGTGCAAAAAGTCACTGAGCGGCCCATACACTGGCGCGTCAGGGTCCATTTCTATGATTTCAGCACATGACATTGAGCAAATGTGTACCCCCTCATATGTAGCCAATAGGTGAAAAAATTGACTTTTTCATTGAATAAAAAGAAGTTGAATAATCAATCCATCGATTCGAACCATTGGACTTATCGATACCTGTTGCATGCATGGGTACTTGTTGCAAAACCGTGACCATTTCAACTATTCAATGCGTTTCATTCGGGTAAAGAAACATATTTGGGTGGATGGTGTGAAAAAAACGGATCATTGGGCATATGCTGAGCAGATCGCTGGGAACCAAATGCATGGTTGCCAAACCATTTGATGTCCTGCGTTTTTGTGTCACACGTAACCAGGAATGCCGCCGCATAGTGATGACGATCTACATTTTCTCAAGTTATTAGGATGTCACCCCTTGATCATAGGTCGCAGGATATCCTCCAAAGTTATCAAGCAGACTACTTTTCAATATCACGCAAACCCAGAACGAATCATCTACACGGTTCATAGAGACGCCAGTGTTTCGCCGCCATGACGCATATGGGAATTTGTATTTCCAAATTTGGTTGCTTCTCTTTCCCAAAACATAACCTCGACAGCGTCATTGAATAAAAAGACCAAATCTATGCTTAAATAAGGCTAGCGAATGAACCTTTGCCAAGACAGTGTATTCTTCAAAGGAATAGAGGGAAAACAACAGTGGGGAATACAGAAGAATTCGGACAGAGTTCTACATTACTTGCGTAACAAGCTTTGGCCCTGGGTAGTGAGCTCACCGTCGGCTTCGACAGCATCGATAGCTGCATCATCAAAGGAGAAGCTTTGAACAGCATCGTCAGGAATTTCTACGCTGTATCCCTTGATAGCGGCGTTATAGCGATGCTTGATAATTCCGCCGTTGGCTTCGGTAGCGCGAACGTGCTCCTCAATCACAGCATCGGGAGTATCGAATTTGAAAGTGACAATAACGGAAGAAGCTGCAGCATATTAGACCACAACATGTCAATAATCGGTGGTAAACACACGCCTTGGTAGCTACTTACAACCCATGAGAATGAAATATAAAATCGAAATAGAACAAGTGGAATGAAACCGAAAAACATCAGACGCCTGCTTGCGCGTCGGGTTTTATTTTTCTTTGCGGACATGGTCACATGCCCGGTGATTGCGTTGAGCCAATCATGCACCAAGATTACGTCTGTTTTTTTTTTTTTTTTTTTTTTTCTCAAGCACCTTTTTGCCATGTCGTAATCCTCCTGCAGGAACTGGTGATACGGCCTGAAAGGCGCATCGGATCATCGATTCCGAGGTTCGATCGTAATTTTTCTCTTTTCTTTTATAACAGCTGAGGCTTGCATCATCAGTGTCTTCCACACAGTGTTTTTTACTGGGACCTTGGTGATCAAATCATGGTGGCCCAAAATATGATGTGATGGCTGTGAGATGTTGCCCCGGCAGTATTCGAAATCTTTGATTTTCAGATAGGTTTTAGATCCTTGGAAGCCATCTTTTGGATACGTTGGTGAAGATGGAGCAGATATAAAACGAAAAACTCAGGCTGAAAAGATGTGTAAAAAAGGAGTGTAAAAAAACCGAGACACAGGACAAGAAAAGAAAGAAATAAACACGTCATTGCGGGGAAATTTCTCATGGGGATCGACCGTCCTCATTTCTCATACAGTGTAAATTGAGCCAAGGACAACACATCATCCGATATCTTTAAAAAGACACATTTTTTCACTTTTTTACAAGTGTTTAAGAGTGAAAGGTTTTTATAAAGTCTCGCGCCTGCATTAATATATGCCACTTTAGGACCATGGATAATACCCTTGCTCACCATCTCTGATCTATTTTCGGGCGGAGTCCTATTTCTGTGTGTGAGGTTAACCAGTCGCCGGCCTGGGTTGAGGAGGAGATATTGTTACGCTAGCGGCACGCTCCTCTAAAGGCAAGAAATTACCACAAATTTGGTCGCTTTTGGTAACCTGGTCTGTCTTGCAAAGAGAACGACTTTTTTAAATCTTCCTGACTCGGTGACAGAAACAAAAATAAAAATATAAGTCCAGCCATCTGGGGTGATTCACCTAGCTTTTTCTCTTCCATTTCCACATACATACCTTTTAGCCATGGCCCTTAGACTTTTGTCCACACGTGTTGTCCGTCCCTTCGCTCCTGCCCTCCGTTTGGCAGCAGTCCGTGGCTATGCCAGTAAGTACATCAAATCAAATCCACTTTTTTTTTTATCGTGTAGAAACATCGTTTTTCTGACGAATTTCGTATGATCTATCTTTTTCTCTAGCCAAGTATTACACCAAGGAACACGAATGGCTCTCCGTTGAGGGTGATATCGGTACCCTCGGTATCACTGATCACGCTCAACAGTCTTTGGGTGACATCGTCTTTGCTGAAACCCCCGAAACCGGTGACAAGGTCGAAGTTCACTGTAAGTGTAACAACATATTGATAAGGGAAAAAAAGATTATGGATGGCGATCCAGCGATTTTTGTATACTGTGATGTGTAAACTGAGTGCTTGAACTATAGCTGGCATTGGTGCCATTGAATCCGTCAAGGCTGCCAGCGATATCTATGCTCCCGTCTCTGGCGAGATTGTCGATGTCAACAGCGCCTTGGCTGACGAACCCAGCCTGTTGAACAGCTCCCCTGAAGCTGATGGTAAGTGTCTCTTGGAAGTGACATCTATGGCGTAAGATGACGTTGATATACTTACAATTTTTGCTGCTGCTTTATTATCACAGGCTGGTTCGCCAAGATCAAGCTCGCCAACCACGACGAGCTCAAGGAATTGTTGGACGAAAGCGCTTACAAGGCTCTCTGCGAGGCTGAAGAACACTAGATTATATTTTGTAAACATATTTAAAACTAAAATAAATAACATCTCCATTCCATGATGCAACCTCATGCCATCCTTCATTCACAAGCAAATAAAAGCCACCAGTGAAAGAGTCTCCAGTGAAAGATTCAACGTACTTGCAGAGTACAGTTGTAACGGCGATTCGCCACTGACCTCCTTGTTGAAATACCAGCCTGTCCATAAACTCATGGCTAGTAAGCCTTTCCTTCTATTACAGCGTGGTCTTTTTAAATTGCTCGCGTAGTTACCCTGACTTTGTTCATGGTTTTCTCTTTCCTTTTCACTTGTTGCATAAGGATGGCCGGACCGCCTTATCAGACGTCCCGTCCAAATAAAAATTTTGGAGCCGCTGGTCTCCCTCGCAGAAAATTATAATCCCCATCATTTTGTATATCTCAGCCTCGGTATCGCGAAATTGGCTAACTCTAATTTGACGTTCGACGATTTATACGCAAAAGCCTACCAGCAGGCTTGTCAAGCGGTCCACTGGGACACGCTTGGCCACTATGAACAAGCCAAACAAAGTTATGACCGTGTCATTGAAGTAAGCCAAAAACCCAAATTCTGTTATCCCATGGATATCGAAGCTAACCTCTTCTGCATCCAGGCATTTTCCACGTTGCTCCGAGGTAAGAAACCAGCTTCTCACTTTGCATGTCAAAGTCTCTCAATAAACATAAAGTCAGCGACGGCCAGCTCAAACGAGACCAGCTCATTCAAAAGTTGAATGACTATCGTCACCGTTGCAATCAGTTGGACCGCTATATGAGTGCCAGTCAGGCCCCCGCAGCAGCCCATCCCGATGCTCAGCAACATCTTTTACACCCGTCCAGCCAATATACTCGCTATCCGCTACACCAACCACAGCTAGGAGAAGACGAAGATGTGGGCGAAACGCCTTTGGAACGCTCATCGTTGGATATTCTCTTGGAGAAAGCACAGGTAAATTTGGGAACACGGCAAGACAGTATCTATTAGATTCACATCAACATGGATGCAGTTTGCTCGAAATATGGGCGAGTTGAACGAGGAGAAAAATTACATTGATCATGCCGTGGAATATTACTCAGAAGCAGCGGAGTGCTTTCTGCGTGCCTTCAAAGGTAAGGCAACGTGCAAAATGCATTTGAAAATAGAGATGAAATCTCAACAATGGTACGTTAAGAGTTGGATCAGGATGACCCGGAGAAATCAGACATTCGTGAAAAGTTTACATGGGTGGTGGATAAAGCAGAAGAGTTGAAGGCCGCTCAAAAATCAAGCAGTATCGCGACCTCACCCACAGCAGGTAATCCCGTCATAGCTCAACAGTCTCGGAGACATGTTAACGTGTTGCTGTCCACTGTGATGGTCGAACAACAACTAGGAAAACATCGTTTATCCTCCACTACCTTGGATGATCCAGCGAGACTATCTCCGACGCGTGCTCGTGCTTCATCTGTATCGTCAGCAAAATTACGCTCTCGATCGCCATCGATTGGCTCCATAGATACCACCCATTCCATCACCAGTCCAGCCACCGAACATTCAATTACCAGCCATCGATTATCATCTACAGAAATTGATGTCTTGAAACATACCTCCAACGTCAACGAGAGAATATTTCTGCCGTGGATGGACGAGACCGATCTCAAGGAGAAGTTTTCCTTTACCCAGAACTTTATGTACGTGCATAGTTGAAGTAGTTATGGCTTCCTGGGTCTAATGTTCAAGTTGCAGCGACCCAGATGGTACACTCCGTCTATCCGACAAACAAATGGCAAACTTTGGCGGGTGGAAACGTCCAGCCGAATTTATGCGAAATCCGCAGTTGATAAAGTTAATATCCAGGTACAAGACATTGATCATTTAATTGATAGTACATGTTGCTAACAATGGGCGATGATCAACAGTACCAGCATCATTCAGGATGTTGTAACGGATTGTTCCTTTGTAGCATCTTTGTGCGTAGCTGCTGCTTACGAACGCAAGTTTGACAAGCAGGTAATCTCCGCTTGATAAGTCGTTGATGAACAGGTACTCAAAGCATGGTTTCTTTTTGTTAGCTTATAACCTCTTGTATATACCCTCAAAATAAGCAAGGCAAGCCTTGTTACAATCCAAATGGCAAATACGTAGTCAAGTTCATATATAATGGCATTGCGCGAAAAGTATGTTCACAATCTCACTTGCGGTTGATCTGTGTGCATAGCTAATGTGTTTGATTAGATCGGTTGGTTTATTCATGTCTGGAACAAAAACCCCATCATATTCATTAATGAGGTGCTTTGAATTACCAATAGTTGTGGACGATCTTTTACCCGTGTCTCGAGAAGGCACACTCATGTGCACGTTCTCTACGAACGCGGGTGAGCTGTGGCCGAGTATCATTGAAAAAGCGGCAAGTTACTTTATTACTGTGGAATCAAACTCACTTATCGATGATAACCTGCGAACGTTTTATTAGTATATGAAGTTGATGGGCGGTTACGATTTTCCCGGATCGTAAGTGAGAAAGAGGAATATTCGCACACAAACAACACGTCACTAATGAGACACATTATAAAGCAATTCCGGAATTGATCTATAGCAAGTATTCTCAATTTTCATCAGCCTGGGAATTATGTAATAATACTTTGTAGCTGTCTAACCGGCTGGATTCCTGAACATATTTTTATCCACGAGTAAGCATCTTAATTCATGAAACCTACTCGGCGAGAAATTCTTATTTTTTATGTTAATAGCCATCATTTCAATGCGGAAAAGATCTGGAATAGAATTCTGGATGGAGCTAAATATGGTATAGTGAGATTCATCCCATTCTACATTTCCATGAAAATAATGGACAGGGCATACTAGGTGATGTATTGGTGACTATTGCGACTGGCGAATTGACTGAAGCGGAAGCCGAAGAACTAGGATTGGTGCCAATGCACGCTTATGCAGTCATAGGTAAGCGTCAACCGAACCTCAAGCACACACACAAAAAAAAACAAAAAAAAAACATTGCTAAACGCCGAAGCAGACATCAAAACAGTGATGAATGTTCGTTTCATGCAAGTCAAAAATCCGTGGAGCCATAAACGCTGGCAAGGTCCATACAGCCACCTCGATACGGTCCGTTGGACTCCGGAATTGAAAGAAGCGCTGAATTACGATCCCTTTATTGCCGAGCAGAAAGATGATGGCATTTTCTGGATTAATTTCGATTCTGTATGTTCCAAATTTACTTCCATTCACCTCAATTGGAATCCTGAGCTTTTCACGCATCGTTGGGTATTACACTCGTAAGTAGTAAAACGTGACGTTTGCTTGAAGTGATACTAAATACCGATTTAGAATGTGGCCTGAGGATCTTGGTCCGAAAAAAGACATTTATAATCTCGGTAGATATGAAGTTGATGATTTCATGCCATGCAAAATGTCCTGATCCAACAACACGTAGGATACAATCCACAGTTCCATCTAACGGTCACCGTTCCGGACAAAAAACCGGCGGCTGTTTGGTTACTGCTTTCAAAGCATATCATGGTGACGGAAGAAAACACAGATTACATTACATTGCATGTCTATAACAGTACCGGGAAGGAGCGGATCTATTATCCCGGTCAACCATTCAAAGAAGTAAATATTGCGAACCTGCTTTTACTTGTCGTATTTTCAGTAACAGCTTTCTCTAGGGCACCTACGTGAATAGTCCTCACATCTTGGTGAGTTGGAGAGTCTTTCAAAGTTTGACGCTCTAGCTTATCAGATGGATTTTGCATTGTAGGTACGATTCAACGCGCCTCCTGGAACGAGCGATTGTACGATTGTGGTATCTCAGCATGAGAAAGCGCGATCGTTGTATTTCTCGCTGCGTGCCTATTCTTTGGCGCCCTTTATTCTTTCAGAAATACCTATGCGATATACCATTACAGAAAAGATCAAAGGACAATGGACGGAACAGACGGCCGGTGGTAACACGTCATCCCCCACCTATCTTCACAATCCGCAGTGGAAAATTACCGTTCCAGCACCGTATGCGGACGATCCATCCACGGAAGCCGGCATTTTACTCATGCTGGAGGCACCCAAATCGCTGGCTGTTCACCTATTATTGGTAGAAGGCGGTCAGCGAACATCCAGGTAAAATTAACCAGCTATAGCGGGATCATGGCGACGCTGACAATATAAGTTATCAGTGTTTCTGTTCGAGATATTGTGGCAGAATCGGGGGCTTACCGTCACGGCTTTTGCTATTGCGAGTTGCCGGTCATACAGCGTAAGTAATGCGGCAACATGCCAGCGATAACGAACAACTGACGCGACCTTTTGCAATAGCGGGGGACTATACTGTGGTAGCTTCCACTTTTGAGGCTGGTCTGTGTGAACAGTTCATATTAACCGTAGCGAGTATCAGCCGATTACAAATTGATCCGATTCCGGCTGAGGGGGCTGTAAGTGGCAAAATACATGACTTTTTTGTGATGTGCTACATGCATTGAACGAGCTGTTTAGGGAATGTTCAAAAAAGTCATTCGCGGTGAATGGTGAGAATTTGCTCAAAAAATGATGTAACGGTCCTTCTCACGGATAATAATCTGCAGGATCCAAGGATACAGCGCGATGGGGTGTCCTAGTTACGGCAATTATAGTCAGAATCCTCGATACCTACTGGAGATTCGAGAATTGACCAGTGTAAAGTACGTCACGTTCTGCATAAGGTTGAATGATACTCTGTGAATAATAATATTGCTGTAGGGTTCGCTTGCAGACAGACAAAATTGAACCGGTACCATCGATCAACGTGACCATCTATGAGAAAGATCCATCGGATCTCTTCGGCAACGAGGTGGCCACTTCAGGACCCTATACCAATGTTGCCCAGGTACGAGATGCAATTTTGTGAGAAGACAATAATTGTTTTGCTAACGGTGGGCTGTGGTACACGATAGGGTGTGGCGACAAAAGAAGTGGTTTTGAACCAAAACGAAACAGGTAAATAAGGAGCAAACCCAAGCAAGCGCCGCTTCAAACATTGGCTGATAAATTTTGCTAGGATACATCATGGTGTTCGCGACCCATAAAAAGGACATCTCTGGGAAATATAAAGCCACCATTTATAGCGATCGTCCCATCAATATAAGAAATGATCATTAGAATGATAAACAGGATGAGAAAAAGAAAAACAATTCGGGGTTTCTTCTATCGTGAGGGAAATAAGGTTACTTTGTCGCCGTCGATCTCAAAGATTGCACTTGAGATAACGCATATCGGCCGGTGGCAAAAAGAATGATGGTCAGGACAACGAGGTAACCAAGGGTTTGGAATAGGTTAAGCTGAGTCCAGTAGAGATAGAATAAATATTCAGTGGCGACCAACGTGCCAATGAAAGCAATAATGGACAAAGTTCGGACGGCTGACCCCGCGGTTAGACGATGAACGACCTTGGACGGTGTCACACCCACCGAGAACCACTAACAATCGAATAAGAAATAAAGTTACTGCAAGAAACATACAGAGTACTTACACCCGCCAAAAGGATGAGCCAAGGAGACAATGAGATGACAGTGAAGGTTTGAGAAAACCAAGCAGGCGGCGTATTGGTAGCGTCTCTGAAAACATGATGGATCTCGGGCTGGATAGCAAACACATCATCCTCACCGGCAGCCCATGCGGCAACCAGTAGAGAGAAGAACGCACTCGCAGCTAGAAATGTACGTGCCATGAGGAATGGTCCAGTGTCTGTACGCCAACACTTCTCACCAAAAGGAAGTGGGAAAACCCAAAGTTGGCGCCCGCATATGACAGTCACACCCGCTCACCCCAATGCAGAGGCGACATTGTGCCTTACCTTGTATGGAGTTTCAGCCGATAAGAACCTTACCCGCTAAGCCCAGGATGACAGTTTTCATCACATGCTATATTGGTCGAGAAAGAGACGCCAATCAGGGGATGCTTTGCGTGAGAATGGCAGGCACGTCACTTTTGGCAACGGTCGTAAATAAAAACTCAAACCACCACGCGCCTTCGGTTTGTTTCTCTCTTCTTTCTTTATTTTTTGTTTTTTTTTTCTTTCATTTACCATGACCAAACCAGAGGAAGTCCCCACTTTGGAGACGATCAATGAATTTCTTCGCGATGATACACGTGTCAAGCTGGCCGTGGTGGATATTGACGGTGTCCTGAGAGGCAAGATCATGCACAAAACGAAGTTTCTGAACATCGTTGAGGAAGGCTTCGGTAAGCGTCGATACCTAAAAAAAAATGGGAGCAATGACAACAATATATTTACAAAGACGTGTAGGTTTCTGCTCCGTGGTTCACGGATGGGATATCGAAGATCAACTGTATACCCAGGAAATCGAATTTTCTGGTAAAGAAGCTCCGTACTTTGACTTTATTGCCAAGATCGATCTTTCTTCCTTCAGAAGAATCCCATGGGAAAACAATGTTCCCTTCTTCCTCGTCTCCCTCGTGCATCCCAAAACCAGAGAACCTCTTTACTGCTGCCCTCGCACGCTCCTGGAAAGCGCGTGTGATGATTTGATGAATACCTATGGCTATACTGCTTACTGTGGTACCGAGTTTGAATTCTTTTGCTTCAAAGGTGAGTTGTTGAATGATTGGGAAACCTCATGTTGAATTCATGGTTCTCATCGTTCTTTATTAGAAACACCCGAGGCGTTGAAGGAAAAGGGTTTCACCAACCTCAACCCTTTGACAGTGGGCATGTGCGGTTACTCAATTTTACGCCCAACGGACAATCAAGAGTTTTACTACAATGCATTTGATTGGTTGCGAGAATTCAGAGTGGATATTGAAAGTTGGCATTCCGAAACTGGTCCTGGCGTTTTCGAAGCGGCATTGGCCTACGTCGATGCGCGCGAAGCTGGTGATCGCGCCGCGCTTTTCAAAACGTCCATGAAACAGATCGCCAGAAAACATGGGTTTATGGCCTCCTTTATGGCCAAGCCATATCAAGACCTTCCCGGTTGCTCCGGTCACACGCATTTCAGTTTGAAGGACAAGAACGGACGCAATGTATTTGCGATATGGGATAAATCGGAAGAAAGCGAGATCCCGGGAGTGAGCAAAACCATGTACCATTTCCTGGCTGGGTTATTACGTGGCCTTCCCAGTATCATGGCCATCTTGGCACCTACCGTAAACAGGTAAACATCCCAGCATAGCAGGCTTATGGTAGCGCCATCTTACACACTTGAAAAAAAAATAGCTACAAGCGTTTAGTTGAACGTTTCTGGGCTCCCATTACGGTTTCCTGGGGTATCGATAACAGACGAGGGGCGGTTCGTATCATTGTACCACCAGCCTCATCACCCAACGGTGCGCGTATGGAAGTGGTAGGTCACCAGAGAGACAGGTGTTGGATTCTTGGGAAAGAAAGCTCGGAACTAACAGTGGCTATTAGCGCGTGCCTGGATCCGATATCAATGCACATCTTGTATATGCTGCCGTGTTAAAATGTGGCTATTGGGGCATCCGTACATCGCAGACAATGCCTATTGGACCATTGAGCGACAAGGTTGATCTGGACACGCAATCAGGAGAGAAATTGGCGCGTACATTACAAGAGGCGACAGCTGCAATGGAAGCGAAAGGATCGGTAGCCCGGGAAGTATTAGGAGATGATTTCGTGAATCACTTCGTAAAGACCCGTCGACACGAATGGACGGAATGGGTGAATGCGGTTACGGACTATGAACGCAAACGATACATGGAGCTGATATAATGCACCAAATAATCTGTGTGCAATGATCCGTTCGGAGGATGACACTATAAGGAAAACATAATTACTAAAAACGACATGGCCCCAATATGGAATGTATTTCAATTTCATCAAAAAGATTTTATATCACTTTGAAGTTTTTTTTTTTTCTTGACATGTGCTGTTTATCGATCAAATCATTCAAGTTGCTTTTACTACCATTGCTTGTTACGTGATACCGTGTAAGCCATCTCTTTAATAATGAAGGATACAAAGTTCAGCCGTTCACACCACCATGTAACCTTTCATTTTTTACCATTGTGCGTAGCCCGAGAAATTAAAAAATTGATAACCGCTTTGTGATACCAGGTGCGACCATCTGTTTTTGGAATTCATTAGCGAACATCATATTTTCACGTCGAGCAAGATATTAGGTCAGTGTTTTTCAGGCGAATAGAACACGATCGATCGTTTGATCTCCTCTTTCGGAATAGATTAATTGCTGTGGAGTTGATCTTTTTATGGATCCTAAAAGTATGGTCGATGAATGGTTGACAAATAAAAGATCCAAAATTGGCATCTTGTCATCCGACAGGTCTGGACTTTCTCGCATAAAATATTCCAGCTTATGCGCATGAAAGTAAGCAGGATGAAGCGCGGTCCAAACATATATCTGTCTATGCATTAGACCATTTAGATTTTCTTTACACATCTGAAAATGTGAACTATCTTATTCTATACTATATTATTCCTGCCTAACCAGAGATGAGTTATCATTATAACAGTTGTGATATCCATGCTAATCAGATGCTATGTGATGATGCCACATTGTGAAGTATCAGCTGTGTGATTTCTAAAATAAATACCAGAGATTAAAATTCAACGCCCATTTATAATACTTATAAGGAACCGATGAACACAATGAAAAACCCAGATGCACAAAGTACTCCATTGTTTTTGTTTTCATTGCTGGATTCCACTTAACATACGATACTCCACGGCAGATAAATATTATCTCATAGAAGCAGCATTTTTCCATGACAGCATACATAAACAATACGTAAGTTGCTCTGGTCTTGCCGAAATAAAGCTGTCCCATGTCACTGGTGCCTTAAAAAATATGCTTGAACTTCGTGCATTTGGAGAACAATACATAAGAATTTGGCTTATCATACGCTCGATGAAAAAAAGTATTGACTGACGGAAAGGGGAATTTAATCAAACACGTCAACTCGAACGTTTCCTTGGTCGTCTACGGTAAAAAAAAAGAAGCAGACTCTGCCGGATGTCTCCTTAGCAATGAAATGATTGACGGTGTAAATAACATGGAAAGCTGAAAAAACCGATAGACCACTGCATAACATGACAACTAGTCCATGACGATGATTAAATATTCAATCACTGTACGTACTATACGCCACAAGTAATTGGGATACCCATTTACTTTTGTATTTTTTTATCACTTTTTACTCGATTGATTCTTTATTTATTGCCCATTTCGATTGAGCAGTGAACTCACTTTGATATATAGGACAGTTTTCCCTACTTGGGTCTTCTTTAACACATTAACAGCACTGTCGATAACCCACGCACAACTTTGTAAATAGGCTCAAAGTTTAAGTAAAGGTTGGATCTCTGTATGCTATCTCTGTATGCGAATTGCGAGCAAAATAGGTATTAGATTTTTTATTTGCAGATACATGTGTAGCGGTTAAATCTTGGACTTTACTATGTCTTTTGGAGGATAACACTAGATTATGAAGCGTACACGAGAATACAATAGTCAAGGTATAAATATAAATCGACGCGTGACGCAAGTACAGTATAGACATTGAATGGGTGTGCAGTTAAAGAACAAGTCGTTGAAATACAGTATGAGAGAAGATGAACAATGCAGGAGCGATAATATCAGATATCAGGACCAAGGCGGCGGCGTTGTCATTTAGATTTCAAAAGGCTGCATGATTTCCTACTGTGACCGTACTGCACGAGCAGAAAGCAAACATATCAGAAGGCAATCACTGGCATAAACGGGGAATGGTCACGGTTACTGTACCTGTCCACAATGATCGCTATTACAAATAGTGATTTCAGTTTAAGAAACGTGCCAAGACCATATCGCTTTGCGGCTAATCTTGAAAAACTTACCACTGACCTCCATCAAGATTTAACGGTTTCACGGGTGGAGCCATATTCCGGAAATTTGAAAATGGACAAATTGACGGAAAAAGTGTGGTTTTATATAATCGATTCAACGCCTGTCAAAAAGTTTAGACCAGGATTCTAATTTCATTGTTTGCTATTCTGTGGTTTTGGTTTCCGGATGCTTGTATACGGAAGCTTTCCCTTTTGCGCATTGATTAAGCCATTTCTGGAAGCAAGTGTTGCAGTCAAACGCATCATGTTTCAGAAATGGAGTGCTTGTGGCGCCAAGCTTGTCAAGGCCACACGGAAAAATTGGATGCTTTAAATTTTTTGATGTGACATTGCCCCCTCATCGAGGATGAGCCATCACACAAAAAAACTCAAAGTTTCTTTTAAGCGCCATTGGATGATACTTAAACATGCCATTTGACCCTCAAAGTCTAATTTTTTTTCTGCATTGACTTTGCGTTTCTTTCCGTGCTGGAAGCTCACGTGCATTCGTTCTCATATAAACGCTAATCTATCCTGAAAGAACCTAATTGCTTCAATTAATTCTCATAAATAGATATGCTTAAACTATCTGTCAACGCGAACATATAGAACAAACTACGGGTTTCCTCAATTCACGGCTTCTTTGATTTTGCATTTCATTCATTCAAGCGCCACAAAAGAAAACAAAAATACAATTCCATGGTGACATCTTTCTCAGCCATTTGGTCGCAGGGTAGTCGTAACCACAACGAATTTGCCAAGAAGCGTGTTACAGAAGCTTGTATTTACGACCCAGCGGCGGAAAGAGCGGTGGTGAAACGTTTGGACAAACGTCTGTTGTTGTTTGCCATGTTTGGAAACATGGTCAAGACGTTGGATAACACAAACTTGGGTACCGTAACTTGTAGCCTAGCAATCGATGTATGGAAACTCATTCTGTTATAAAGCCAGTGCATTTATTAGCGGTATGGAAGAGGAATTGCAAGTGACTGGACTGGAATACAACTGGATGGGGGTCGCGTTCATGATCGGATATTTGCTGTAAGCTACCTATTACATCATTGTGGGTGTGACAAACGAACTAGAAGCGATCATCCATAGAATGCAAATCCCGTCCAATTTGTTACTGTCGAGAGTTCGACCGTCGGTTTACCTTCCCTGTCTGGAAATGTTGTGGTGCGTTCTTACGTTAGCGATGGCTTGTGCCCAGTCGGTGCGCTCCGTGTTGTGCATTCGCTTGCTCCTCGGGTTGGCAGAAGCAGGATTTTACCCAGGGGTAAAGTAGCTTGTCCATGGGCAAGGAACAAGTGGCGTTATCTCTAACGTCTTATTGTAGATCATTTTTCTCATAGGAACCTGGTACACCAAACGCGAGCTTGGCAAACGGCTGGCGCTGCTGAATATTTGTGGATCGTTGGGTAGCGGTTTGAGTGGTGTGATACAAGCGTTCATGCTGAAAACTATGGATGGTGTGTGGAATATCAGTGGATGGCGCTGGATGTTTTTCTTTGATGCTACCATTACTTTTATCTTGGCACTGGTGGGTTATCATGTTTTACCGGATTACCCAAATAACACGGCCTGGTTGAGCAAATCGGTAAGATATCGGAATTTTGGCTCGCTTAACTATTGAGCTGAGTCGGTTGGATCAGGAACAAGCCATTGCCACAGGACGAACAGAAAAAGATGGAAAAGAGTTCAAGCGTAACGGACAGTTTCTTGCCCCTTTGAAGAAATTATACAGTAATCACTACTTGTATCTTTTCATGGTTGGTTGGGCGTCTCTTCATATTGCGTTGGGAGCTTGCACAGTGCTCGGAATTGTTTCAAAAAAGCTGGGATACGGGGCGGTAACAGCCAACTTACTGGGCGGGGTAAGTCATCTCGATCCACCTATTCACGCAGACAGTCTATTATTCATACCAAAGTATTACAGCCTGATACGCTTATTACAATGATAGCTGGGGTTTGCAACGGCTTCTCTAGCGATTACTTTCAAACAAGAATCTGGTAAAAAAACAAACATCCAGAAGTACGATACTGTCACATCATCTTGCTCACCAACAAAAAACAGGTGCATCTTGATTCCGGCGACTGTGGGCTTGATCGGATGTTGGTAATATATCAAATGGTTCTCCGATACAGGTGAAGTACGGCTGATGATCGAAACTATAGTATGCTGTCTGTGTTTGTCCAGCCGTTTGGACTACTGTACTTTGGCTTCATTTTAACGCATGCCGGTCTTGGTTGCGTGTCTTCGGTAAGCGGATTTTCTGTTATTGCTGGCTATTTTTTCTATTAAATTATACGAACGCTCAAATGATGCGAAATTGCTAGATCATCATGACCTATGCCACCGAGACGATATCCAAGAATGCAGACATACGTGCAATGGCCATAGCGATAATGAATACTTCGTCTTCCTCGATGTGGCTGTGGACTCCGCTCGTGTTATGGCCCGTTACTGGTAAGCATCCATCCGAGTGGATACACCCGCTATTTATTCTCATTACTGAATTAAATTCATGACAGATGCCCCTTACTACCGTATGTTCGCGATGTTGATTCTCGATGATACGTAAATGAACCGGGGCTAATTGACAGTTTTAGACACGGGATTTACGGCTAGTGCTGGCTTTATCCTTTTATTCCTACTTTCGATGACCACGGTGCATTATTTCAAACTACTAGAAAGCAAAAATGCGAGTTATGATGATACAGCCATTCCGCTCTTATCATGTGATGGGGAGACTTTTCTACAGAGCGACAGTCATCCACGGTTGCCGCATACCAAAACCACGGATATTTTGAGTCATCACCGTAGCAACAAACTTCCACTATTCCGTAAAAACGATTCGCTTATCATGGGGAACCTAACGTGATGAAATGGCGTTGTATATCTATGTATTAACTCGATAAAAATTTCACGATACTCATGTTCCGTGTATACGATAAATTATCAAACTGATGGATTGGGGTGGTTGGATGAGGAAGAAGAGGAGGCTTCGTTGGTGAGATAGAATTCGTTACAAATCGATCGCTTTGATCCTGAATAGTCATCATCATCATCTTCGTCTGGCGCACGTCGTCTTCTGTGCTGTTGGTATGAAGGGTCGTAGGATGTATTTTGGGAGTCACTTTTCCGTGCTTGGTAAATAGGCTCATATTCCTGCATAACATAGTTGGTTAGTGATACCCGCAAATCGCAAGTGATCTGTCACACTTTTCATGCCAGTATTTCGCCTAGTTACCTTTAATTGGCTCTTGAATCCGTCGTTGGGATTAATGCACAACCGTTTGCTCTGCACAAAGTGGTAGGCGTCCGTTGCATCGAGATTAAACGTTTCCATGATGTAAGCGATGACAAAAGTTGGACTGCGCGACATACCACCGTTACAGCAGACGAGAACGTGACCGCCTGCAACTAGTGCATCATTGATCAACGCCGTCACCATAGGGAATATTTGAATCAAATTTTGAAGATTGGAATCGTTGGTTTCAAAAGCAGTAAATTGAAATAGTTTTGATATTTGATCAGTACGGAAAAGGTTGGCTTCACGATTATCCATCAAACACACGATATGGGTAATACCGAAAGCGTATAAATGGGGTACGTCACGACAGCAGGAAAATGGCCCAAGAAATAGACCCGGCTGTTGTGTGCCACCACAGCATTTTTTGCATAAAAATTAAACACGGTGCTTGACGACAGAGAGCGATATGAGGCTCAGGCGCTAAAAGTACTTACAAGGATCTCCTGCATTTCTCTTCGCATTTCGTACCGCCAGTCTTCGACATTACACTTGACGCCTGTGGTTACAAAATACCCCTTGTCTATGCGATCATAACCTGGTGGCAATTGAGAGCCCATACTTTTTCTGAGGGCGGTACCAAGGAACGAACTGTAGAAAACAAGTAAAAGATTTTGGTTTCCGAGGCATGGGCGGATAAATTCCTCACCAAGGGGAATATGGATACATTACATGTTGGACCTGAATGTTGGTTCTTTTAAAAAAAAGGGTCTTGTTCGGAAGCGGAAAAAGTTCAGAAAAAAAGACAAAAATAAAAAATGCAGAAAAGAGAGGGTGGTGTTTTACGGTCATGAATGAGGTTGATGAATTTTTGCATGTGTGCAACCATGACGGACCTTGAGCTTCCGTTGTTTTTCCCAGTGTTTTCCTTCCCCAAGGTCGCTCACCATATTACACAGTTACGGTTCCAAAGAGTAACAGCTCATGCATCATAACCTGGCACAAACATCAGCCTCCGACACAAGCATACCATCCATTCTCTACCACAGCAGACACTCCGCTCACGAACCCAACGGTCTCATTCATAACGAAGTAAAAACCACGCCATCCGAACTACTCACAGATTACCCGCAGGAAGTCACTTGGTTGTTCTTTCGCGAAAACCGATGGACACCATTCCAAAGCGATAATCATTACAAGATTGAGCAGGTATTTACTTTAGGAGGTAAGTAACCTTGCTACTGCAAAAATTCCATCGATTATATTTGCCTAAATCAGGAACCCTGTTTCTAGGCATTTACGTCGACATAAAAGGTACAGTAAAAAAATTTAGTGTAGACTGAGCGTGATTTACATCATGTTAAAGATCTACTTGTCTAGACCACAATTTCCCGCAACTGAAAAGCATACGAGTATTTCCAACACGGTTTTATCTATCATACCTTGGCATGAAATACAGACTAAGCTGCATTATTCAAGCGTGATAATTTTTCCCTCCATGTTATCTGCAGAACGTCCGTTAGAATATCACAGCATCATCGTTTTCTACGATCAGCCGGTCTGTTGCCCCTTGATCGCTTTTTTTTTTCCTTCTCTAATCAACCACTTGCATTGTTTTTGCATGAATATGTGATGAGCTTTGGCTTTTATAATATAAACAGGAAAAGGGGGAAGCATGAACGTTACATTGAAGCCAAAAAGTGGCAATTATGGGTTTTGGATCGGTGGACACAGAATACCAGCAAATGCCGAGTTGAGGGCTCGTTGGTACGCAAATCTCGGCGCATATCCTCCAGCTCGAGCTGCCTTGTTCCCATTAAGATAATCCGTCGCGCTAAAAGATTATTTCAAGATAGACATCAGCATTCGACATCATATTGATATGGATCACAGGAAATACGTACGCGTCACTGTAATTTTCCCGAACTTCGAATCCGCAGGAATAATCGTACTCCAAGCCAAAAGGATCAAAATTAGCTAGTTCAGCCTCTTTCATTTCGGTATCAGTATCCATTGCTGCGATCAGCCATGAGGGCATATTCAGTCGCGGAGATGGTGTGTTGCTCTCCGACTGCTGCCGTAATGCTGATGATCGTTTCAAAGCCGTCGCTCGTGTGGCTAACACCGCTTGTGCCGATTTATTGGAGGTGGCCTGTGTGATTGCAGCATGTTTAGCTAGTCGTTCATTTTTGCTCCCAACTGTTGGAAATACTCACTAGTTCTTTGATAAGTTCCGCTTTCTCCAATTCCTTTTCTCTTCGCTCTTCTTCTAGTTGTCGCAGATAATCCTCTCGTTTCTGCTCTCTTTCCTGCTTTTCAAGCTCGTCTTGGTAAGAACTGTATCGTTGCTCGTTTGCCTAGAAACAGCCGAGAATTTGGGTTAATATGACTCCTACTTTTATCCAATCATCCCGACATCAATGAATCTTACTAATCGTGCTTGATTTTCTGCAATGCTTTCTTTGTTCTCGAGCTCGTATGCGGTAATTCGAGCTTCGGTTTCGGCGACATCCACTTCGTTCATGAGGTTGAAAGCTAGTTTTGTTCTTCGTGAATCAAATATTGTAAAGATATACACAGGTTGATCAAATCACTTACTTATATCTTCGACCATCTCTAAATAATCGTTGTAGAGTCGCAGACTGGGAAAATCTTCGGGCCGCTTATTGAACCTACACAGATCGAAGCTTTCCTGTTTAGTTGAAGTGTACCCTGTGCACGTTTTTTGGCGATCATACACTTTTCCAACCCGTTTTCGTATCCGAACTTCCTTTTCCACAGTGAGATCTTCGAAGATTTGGGACATGAACTGATTTTTGCGCAACACTTGATGACAAAGCGGACATGGCGCGGGACCAGCACTGAACAACCGATCAATGCACGATTCGCACCTAACCATTTAACAGCGACGGTGAGCCAGGCGAATCACATAGAGATTTAGTCAAACGTACATTTTATGAAAACATGGCGATACTAAGAGTTTCAGATTGGGAGTAAGGTATTTGTCACTCTTACATACGGGGCACTGAGCGTCTTCTTCCTAATGCACGTCTTTTAGTACCGGCTGCGGCACACGACGAGAAGAAGTTGGGTTTCTTATACGTACCTGGTAGGATACAACCGAAGAACCTGTTCGGCCAATCATGAGTGTTTGACTGCGTAATGTACCGTCAGCCATGATGAATTAACAATGGAACGAGAAGCAAAAGAGTGGATAAAAAAACCCGTCTGCATGACTATCCAATGCCCTCAGTTACAAATTGGCGAATTTCCCATTTTCAAAAGCAGTCATATAACTTCCAAAGGCCGTCTGCTGCCATTGCCGAAGGAAAACCGTTCTTCACCCTCTTCATAATTATCCATCATGTCCATGTTAAATAAGCTCAAAGAGACACAGAAAAATCCGGTCTTTTTAGACGACGATGAGGATATCGACATTGACAATATGGATTTTCCTTTACCAAGCGAAGTGAACGAAGCACCAGCACGTAGTTCATATGTTTCTCCTCCCGCCGAATCATCCTCTTCATCCATTGCTGTAGCCACGGGTCCTCAAGGTGTACGACGTATGGATCCTTCAGAGTATAAAGAGTAAGACTTTTTAACAGTTGTTGAGTACTTGTATGTGTGTGGTTCTCAATGCAGCATGGTATATAGTTGGGTCTGTGTGTACCCTTGTTACATTGACAGTGACAAGTCTTGGAAAGAAGGTCGCAAAATCGCAAAAGAAAAGGCAGTCAAGAACCCTCATGCATATCATATGGCATTGGCAGTTCAGCAACTGGGTTTATCCGTTGTTTACGAGGTACCTAGGTTGACTGATTATTATGCTGGTTGACTTGTTTTAACATGTGTCTCTTTCTACTTTTGCAGGGCAAGAAACACCCTCGTGATTGGGGCAACCCGGGCCGTGTTCGCGTACAAATCAAGGCTGCAAACAACTTTTATATCAACCAAAGAATCACTTCTCGTAAGCGTATACGCCATCCATGGAAATGAATAACGATGACTGATTTGTCGTGTTTAATAGGCAAGGACTTATTTAACGCCATCGCTGAGAAATTACCAAAGGTGCAGAAGGAAAGCGAATTACCAAAGAGCATCCTGTCACCATTGGCCCGTTTGAGCGAAGTTGAAGCCGTGGTGGATGAACAGCGCAAGGCTCAAGGTCTCCCCACTTTGGCCGAGATGAATGCTAATATGCCCTCCCCCACCATCCCCGCGAAACCAAAGAAACAAAAGATCAAATACGTTCGTGGATAGACACTGTTACCGAGTAGGATTTTATCAAGACGCATGGCAAATGATCCGTGGTGATACTCGTCTACCACAAGTCGCGAAAGCGATTAGACTAGTTCTTTTCGGAGGAAAAGAATAAAAATTTGGAAGAAGTCTATCTACTTTATTCTCCAATCGCACCATTATCGCGCAGAGAACGCACACTTTCTTGCGTATATCCTAGCACATCGGTAAGAATCTCATTTGTGTGGGCTCCAAGCACAGGGGGCGGAAGTCGGATCGTCGGCTTGAAGTCGCTGAATTTTACAGGTGGCCCTACCAGTGAAATGCATGTTAAAAATCGTCCTCATCTGTATCAACCAAGTTTCAGCGTTCGAGCTTGTCCAAACCGTACCAACAAGCTTTATTTTTCCAGCTCTTTCATGCTCCACTTCCTGGACTAAACCGCGTGCCATGAGTTGAGGATGTTCAAACGTTTGTTGGATGTTATTGATGGGAGCAAAGGGGAAGCCGCCTCCGTTGAGTTGTTCAAGCCAATAAGATGAGTCTTCCTGGGTTAGTCGATCTTCCAATGCCTGAATCAGTTCTACACGGTGACGCACACGATCTACGTTGGTCTTGAACCGGGTATCTTGCAAAAGATGCTCCATGCCCATGCGTTGGCACAGTTTGGCAAACTGACCATCGTTTCCTGCTCCAATCATGACAAACGAATCTCTTGTAGGCATCACTTGGTAAGGAACAATGGAAGGATGCGATGTACCCATACGCTGTGCTTCTTTGCCACCAATCAGATAATTGGATGCGATATTTGCCAATGAAGCTACTTGGGATTCAAGTAATGAGCAATCAATTCGTTGACCACGACCTGTGATGCCACGTTTGATCAGCGCAGCTAAAATAGAGCTCTGTGCATATAAACCGGTAGTCAAATCTAGTGCATACAAAAAAAAGGACAATGAATGAAAAATGATCTCGTGTTTTAATAGCGCTCTGAGGATGTGTTTTTTACCAGTAATTGCGACGCCCACTTTGACTGGCTTTCCGTCTGGTTCACCAGTGATATGCATCAGACCAGCTTCTGCCTGCAGAAAGTGATCCTCTCGTTAATATTTGGAAGGCCGATGATGCTTTACTGCTGAGATATCCTGATTGTGTGTCTGCGACCATTTTCTTTTTTCCAGAGTCTTACCTCAATGATCACATCATATCCCGGTTTATCTGCATAGGGACCGTCCTGACCGTAACCTGTTACACCTTTTTGTCAAGACTCATTGTTTGGTGAAAGTGACAATTTTTCGCGCTTACCGGTAATCGAAGCATAGATCAACCGAGGGTTAATCTTGATTAGATCTTCATAACCGAGCTTCATGGAGGCCAATTTGCCGGGAAGATAGTTCTCCACCAGCACATCACAGTGCTTGACAAGATCATAGATAATTTGTCGACCACCCTCTGTTTTCATATTTACTGTAACTGACTTTTTGTTACGATTGACACATAAAAAGTATGCAGACTCGGGACGTTGTTTATCGGTGGCATCCTTATTCTCTGCAAACGGGGGTCCCCAAGCTCGTGTATCATCGCCGCCCTTTGGATTTTCTATTTTGATCACCTCGGCGCTATTGAACGTCAGCACCATCAAACGTATGGCTTTGCCTATGGATTACTCCTTTACCCCAAGTCGCCAAGCATCATGGTGCAATACGGTCCAGCTACGAAACGGTTTCAGAGCGCATTGTTCGAGTATAATAAAGCGTTTCAGTCGTACCTAATACTCGCGTTAAATCCAGCACGCGAATGCCGTCCAGAGGTCCTTCAATGAATGGTTCCGAAGGGAGATTACGGAAGTAGACATGAGTAGTTGAAAACTTGCGAGCTATACAAGGCCTCGCCTGTCTACAAACGCCAAACAAAGAACGGGAGATAAGAAACATAACAGGTCAACGAAACGACATATTAATGTGGGTTGCGCCTTTATCAAGCATTGACTTTGATAAATCGCTAAAATGTTTCCCCGATCAATTTTTCCCACCCTTGACTAAGGCGTCCCTCATTGGCAAGTATTTTTTTAAATTGCTGACTTGAGTGTCATGTATCTTTCATCTTTTTCAACTAAAGGAAAGAAAAATCCATATTTTTCATTTATTCAAGTAATGTAAAATTTTCAGTTATGTTGTATAAACTACATCTTTTTTTATGTACAGGGAGCAAACTGAGGGAACAACTCGGGAACACTGCCGTGCTGCTTGAAATACTTGACTGCATTTTGCGCCGTTTCAGCGACGTTTTCAGCCGTGATCTTGAATTTCTTGTAGACATCTGTGAACTGACCAGAGTCACCAAAAGTAACCATGCCAACTTGAGCGTGAGAATACTTTTGCCAGCCAAAGGTACTCAGGGCCTCAACGGAGACCACGGGAACGCCCTTGAGCAACACAGATTGTCTGTATTCGAGAGACTGTTCATCGAACAATTCGGTACAAGGCATGGAGACAAGACGAGCCTTGAGACCGGCCTTGCGCAGAAGACCAACACCGTCTCTGGCGATCATGACTTCAGAACCAGTGGCGACAATAATGACGTCGGGGTTTTCGTCAGACTCGGGTTCGAGAACGTAGCCACCCTTGCGGACAGCTTCAATCGATGAACCCTTGAGCTGGGGAAGATTCTGGCGCGACAAAGCCAAGACGGAGGGATGATCGCTGCGTTCCAAGGCCACGAGATAGGTACCGGAAGTTTCGTTACCATCGGCGGGACGGAATGTGTACATATTAGGAGTGGCACGCGTAAGAGCCAAAGTTTCAATAGGCTGGTGGGTAGGACCGTCTTCTCCCAAACCGATGGAATCGTGAGTCATGATGTAGAGAACACGAAGCTTGGACAAGGCACTCAGACGAGCAGCACCCCAAGCATAACTGTAAATGATCCAAGAATCAAATCAGTCAACCACGGTTTTGCATTATTCCTTCTTCGTCGCACCACTACTTACGTCAAGAAATTCAAAAAGGTACCGCCGAATGGAATCAAACCCTGATAAGCAGCGATACCGTTCATAATGGCACTCATACCATGTTCACGGATACCGTAGCGAAGGTAACGACCTCCATAGTTTCCAAGCTTGGTGCTCGGCTAATTCAAAAGGATGTATGAGATGTTGTTGGTTTACCATCGTTGTTAGGGAAAAGAAATTATGTCACTTACGGGTTGGAAATCGACAGCTGTCTTCCATCGGGTGTTATTGGAACCGGTCAAATCGGCTGAGCCACCGATCAATTCAGGAATGACATCGGCCAACTTGTTGATGACAGCTTCGGACAACTTGCGAGAAGCGATGGCATCATCGTCGGGAGTGTATTTGGGCAAAGCCTTTTGCCATCCGTCGGGAAGCTTACCAGCTAAACGACGCTTCAGTTCCTTGCCCTCGTCGGGGAATTCCTTGCAGTATTTTTCGACAAGGTCATTCCAGGCCTTTTCGGCCTTGGCATTCTCCTCAGCGCGCTTGTGGAAGTGTTCATAGACTTGTTGGGGAACGACGAATTTCTCATCGGGGTTGAAACCAAACTTCTTCTTCAACTGCTTGATATCGTCTTCCGAGAGGGGGCTACCGTGGGTCTTTTCCTCACCCTGCAACAACGAGCCGTAACCAATGGTGGTGCGGACCTTGATAAGCGAGGGCTTGTCTTGGACCTTCTTGGCAGCTTCGATGGCTTTCTTAATGGCGTTGAGGTCGCTATCACCATCATCGACGACTTGCACGTGCCAACCGTAGGCTTCGAAACGTTTAACCACGTCTTCAGTGAAGGAAACAGCCGTATCACCATCAATAGTGATATGATTATCATCATAAAGCGCAATCAATTTGCCCAATTGCAAATGACTTGAAGTGATCATGGTAAGTCATGGGCTTAAAATATAGGTTTCCTTTTTAGATATCTTACCCTGCAAGGGAACAAGCTTCAGACTGGACACCTTCCTGCATACAACCATCACCCAGGATACAGTATGTGTAGTTGTTAAAGATCTCATAGTTGGGTTTGTTAAAGGTAGCGGCCATGTTTTCTTCAGCGATAGCCAAGCCAATAGCATTGGCAATACCTAATTATCACAAAAAGTAGAGTCCGGTCAGTCACTGAAACCTTTTTGCGCCACAGATGCTTTTCTCAATTACCTTGACCAAGAGGACCGGTGGTCACTTCGATGCCTTCGGTATGACCGCGCTCAGGATGACCAGGGGTGCTGCAGCAAATTTTCTTTAGTTATATGTAGTAATGTCAAAAGTTTTGAAGTCCTTACCAGCTACCGACTTGACGGAAGTTCTTCAAGTCGTCCATGCTAAGCTTGAAGCCCATCAAGTGGAGGAGAATGTACTGAAGGACACAAGCGTGACCATTGGACAAGACAAAGCGGTCTCTGTTAGCCCAATGGGCATTATGAGGAGTCACTTTCACAAAGTCACTGAAGAGGACTTGAGCCATGGGCGCGCAACCCATAGGAGCGCCTAATTTGCAAATGAACGTTCATGCATTAGAGATAAGCCTGCAGAACGCGTCATCTTTTTTTTATGAAAATATTATTATACCTGGATGACCAGAGTTAGCAGCCCTCACGACATCAGCCGCGAGTGTGCGAATAGTGTTGATGCACAACGTGTTAAGATCTGAATTGCCCATAGTATATTATGTAGAGTGAAGAAAAAGAAATAAAAGTACAAAAAGGTTGCGATGGAAAGCAAAGCAAAAATATACGCGCTATGCAAGGGTTCGACTTCTGGTTTCGGGCGGAGAAAGACCCTTGAGGTTTAGACTATGTTTCATATTTGGAGTGCATTACAATAAGATGATTCATCACCAGTTTCCATTTTTAAATCTCCATGACGATTATCTCATCCTCTGTCAGCACCATCAAAAGCCGGTCCAGGATCAATTGAGCCCCAATAACATCGGTAGCATGGCCTTGGGTCAAGTCCACCAATGTTTGCCTTTCCACATTGTTTTTCTCGCCGCTTCGATAATAGATGTAAGCATTTCGCGTACTTTCAACGATAGTCACAAATTGGTTCAATAAATCATAATGAATAAACCGACTGTCCCGCTTGGAAGCTTGCACGAAAGCAAATGCGTTGAATGTAGCAATATGCTTTGCCTTCAACTCTTCATCTTCGAAATTGAGGGCGTACACGGTACCATCGACGTCGTCTTTGACACAAAACGTAGGTAGAACGCGATGATGTCGATGGGTATCGAAGGAACGACATATCCATTCATTATTGCCAGATGAGATCTCGTCGACCTTTTGTCCATGTCGGTTATAAACGACAAATAAGACAGGTTCGCGCCCTTCGTCAATATCCTCATCCATGTCGGTGGCTGCCGGGTGTTGCATCGCTTGCACAAACGCAGTCGTCGGAGGATTTTCTTCGTCAACATCTGATGTAAATTTTTCCAGTCGTTCGGCAATGGTTTGTAAACGGCTGGGATCCACCTTTTCAAGGTTGCCATCATCCATTTCAAATACATGCGGCCATCGTGTGTGCTCATCATGTTTAGCCAGAGAAACCGTGAGCTTTCCTGCAGTGGAATCAATTGTCCACGTACTTTCGTCAGGTCGAATCGCGCTCCACAACTTGCGAAACGGGTACGAAAGTGTAAAATTCTTTTCTTGGACGATTAAGCTGAGATGATCACGCGTGAAGTTACATGTCACGGCGTTCTTTGACACCCCCACTGGTATAGCAAATTCCATCGAAATTTCAGAGTCGTCTTGCATCCATTCATATGGAGCAACCCCATCGGTTTTACACACCGGTTCCATTTCCACGTCAGCATCGGTCGCTAATCCTCTTATTGTTTCATATCGCACTTCGCTGCCCAGAATACAATGATCTCCGTCGTTGGTGATGGCGTGATAGACGGGTACTTCAGGTCCTTGCTGAATGTGCAGCGTAGTGAGTTTGGATTCATAAACACCATCGGCGCGTCGAACGGACGACGCGTTGGGAAGATCCATTTCGAGCGTGGCAATGTTGAAAACAGTCTTTGTTCCGCTAGCCCGGCTGTGGACGATCATGACGATTTTTTCCTTGATGATTTTAGCTGATAAGAGAACGCAAGGAACAGGGGTCATGCCTTCGGTGGTGTCTCCCTCGTAGGAGGCTGATGCAACGACGGCACCAGCCACGGTATTATCGGATTTCGCTTCGAGACCAATGAGCTCGATATCGCCAATGCCGTTACATGCGAGCACTAGTCCCGAATTTAGCGCAATGACTGAGGGATACTGTGACTCCAATGGAATTTCTTGATCGGGTATGGTATAACTGGGAACCGAATTCAGCGGTCTTACTAGCTGAGCTATTTGAAAGAATTCGGTCGATCGCGTCACCTGGCAGCAATAGCAATTAGCACTATATGAATTAGTCCAAGTAGTGACATGCTTACTTTATCAAAGAGAATCATAACGACAGCATATTCATCGTCGACGTAAAATGCCGTGCCCGTATGATCGTTTAATGGAAAACCGTCGGCCAAATGACTGAAACGAATGCGCGCTTGCAATTCTCGGAATCCCATGCGGTTGTTATGCGGAAGCTTGTTGATCTGCAGTCGACCTCCCGGGAGCGCAGTACGACAGAGATTAGTTTCCTCGGGGAAAGGCTGAAGTTTATAGCCCTCAAACTTGGTGTTAATGAGCTCATTATTCGCCGTAAGCTTCTTGATAGAATTTTTGTTCATAATAAAGATGATCGCGGATGTTTGATTTTGCTGTCATAAGTCTAATCAAGTCCCATGAACTGCGGTGATTGAAAAAAAGCAGCCAAATGCACAATTGCTTTGTAAATCGCGTACAAACTTTTATGCGCCAATATGATCGCCATTTTTTCGATTCAAGGATTGTTAGCCTAGATTCATAGTAATTAACTTTGACGTAAACGGCTTACGCTAGTTATGAAATTACTGTAGGATGCACTTTTGTTTTGTAGGAACTGTAGGGTGCACCCTTTTGCTGCTCAATGATTGTTTCCACAGTCACGGTTTGCAGACTGTCGTGCACGTTCCACCACCACACATTGTTTGCCTGTTGCTAATTTTTGAGTCAATTAAATGCACAGTGAGCACTATTACATAATAATCATCACCCTCTGTCATAATTTACTCAAGATTCCATTACCAGTAAATCCTTCCGTCAGACAAAGTCCAACGTATATGAGGCATATTTTAGCCAAATCTTGACGAAACTTTGCTATATTAATGTCAATCCTCTACAATGCAATATGGAAATTCATAAATTAGGACCTATAAACCCTTTTGCTCCTTCCCGACCAGTCGTTGATGGATCTAAGACCGGTATCTTGATATTTAATGCATCAGTAAGAGGTAGGGACATCGCGCTGTTGACAGCTGCGTATTATAGCATTGTCCTACGGTTGACGTTAATGTGCTAAAATCAGAGCGTTCTCTTTTACTCCCAGTTGACCATATTTTGCCTTGACGCACCTTAATTCGCCTACAGGCTTTGGCAAAACGACAGTGGCTTATTCTGTCCCGCTTTCATGGAACGTGGATCGGAGTTCAAATGCGAAAGGTCGATAAGGCAAGATGTTGCAACCTTGCACCCTGCACGCGATTTCCCAACCTAATGTCTCTTATACAAAGCACAGGAACACAGTTCCTCAATGAGCACATTTCAAGTAGAAACGATTTGAAACTTGATGTATTAAAACGATTGCTGAACGAAAGAACCAGTCGACAAGCAGAACTAGACGATAATGTAGGATGCAGTAAACCCGTCCTTGTCCTTCCAGTTGTCTAACGCCACGTTTTTAACAGCTCAACAATACTAGAAAGCAAACGCAGCAAGTGCTGAAAGAATGCCTTGATGAAGCAAAGAGCCAGCAAATGCAATTAGCGAATTTGCATGCTTCGTTGACAGAGTCACAGCACAATCTACAAGAGTACCGCAAACAGCACGACTCACCAGCTTCATCGGAAGCTGGGGCAACACTGCAAAGTCAGTTATTGGCGAAATTAAAACGAATTGAAACCAAGTTGAAGGCATTGCAAATTGCAAAAAGCTATGCAAAAGCTTTACTTGTCTCATCCGAGCTCTGGTAAAACCACTTGTTGATGCACACTGGGCGAGAAAGTAATGACTGATCTGTGCGTAGTGCGCAAGCGCGAGAGTTGGTATCCACCGATCCAGAAGCGGCTATTGCTCCTTACGTACAAATGGTAAAATTTAGTCAATATATCGCGGATCAGGCCGGGGAGCAAGCTTGCTACGAGGAGGTCAAGCTACACTTGATGAGTTCTCGAAAGCAGTTGTGGGAAGATTTGAATGCCATGTTGAAAAAGTAAGCACAAAGTGGGGTAGCTTGATTTTAAGGACGACTTCTGATTGGTAATGCACGCTTCTATCAGGAACTTTGAAGCAACGTTAGAGGGACTTTCATGGCCAACTCCTATCAAACCACCTTACGGACCCCAAATGAAAGCCAAACTTGACAAATTCGAACAAGCGTTCTTTAACCTTCTTTTACTTCAGACATCGTAAGTGTAGAACATTGTGTGGATTGTCATACGTCAGGTTGCTAAACTATGTAAAGATCAAGCGATCATGAAGAGCTTACTGGAGACAACTTATTGGCACCTGTTTCCATCATGATGGAAGCCATCTCACTACGTTTCCGATTCCATTTTGAAGGCTCAAAGCCAACCAATCGTCTGGACAAGGTACAGAAATCTTTTTCCTCGTATGTATCGTAATGAATATGAAACTCACATACGTTTGTTTTATCAAGCCCGAATGGTATCTTACCCATGTAAAGAATACCATCGCAGCGCATATACCTTTCTTAATGACCGTTGTCCAACCTATCGTCGATCGTGCATCCGACCATTTACAAATACGGATATCGGTGAAAGACCATTTCATCCGCGCTATACTCGTGAATGTTGCTCGGAAATTACGGAACGATATACCGCGACTCTTGGATCATCCAAGCTACTTGAGTCATACAGTCCATGAAATCTTAACATTTGACCAGTTGTTGCAAGACGATTTCGCCTACGTTACGCTTGAAAAGAATGTTCAACGCGAAACAGCATCCGCTGTCATCCTTCAAAATCGTGAATGGTTCGATGCATGGTTTCAGGCAGAAAAGACATGTAGGTTGGATATAGGAACGCCTTCGATTCAGAGCTGGTACTCATACCCACATTATTACAGTTGCACGTACACGGTACGATGATATCCTGCTTGATGCGCATGCCTTTGAGCTGGATGAAAATGAAGACATTATATCGTCATATAAACAGCAAGCTTCAGATCCACGATCTGTTAAGGCGACCAAGTCTGTAGCCAAGTTGATCAACTTGTTGGAAAGTATTACCGGTACGATTTTATTCCCAGCGACGACAAATGACATATCCGAACGGCCTACTTACCAATGGCTGTATAGATGCTTATAAGCTCTTGCCTTCTTTGGAACAAAGACTTCGGTTTTTCGCTGATATCCAGCTTGGACTTCTCGATGGATACAAGTACCGTATTTCCTCAGCTATTGATTCCTTGGAAGCCGTCAGTTTGATACGATCTGTACCGGTGCCTGGAGGTCTTCCCGATGCGGTCACGGGTGTGATCATGTCTTCAGAGCAGGGAGGTGTCGTTGCTGTTCTGCACCGTATCTATCGCTGGTGGACCAGTGCGTGCTCTGTGAGCGAAGTGTTGCGTGTCTGGGCAGATGACGAGGTAACGCGTAAAATAAGTTACACGTATGTGAGATGTGGATCTAATGTGGTTTGCGCCAAACATTTCTGATTTCGGAAACAAGCTCTTCCTGGACTTGCAGTTTGAAGTGAATCAAAACCCAGAATTATTCCAAGAAATGGCGAACCAGTATGAATCGCCGGACAGTCTGTTTGTACCACGCTTGGAGAAACTTTTCGAGACGGCCAATGACTCTGTATTCGCAGCCCCTTTGGCTTCCTTCCAGCGATTATGCGAACGGACAGAAAAGCTCATGGTCAAAGTGATTGTACGGGAATGGAACACAGCTACACGCGATTACTCTAAAAGGTAAGAAAACACTGTACGGTGAACTTTCTCAACGCGTCTTTGACTCTCTCAAATTCGAAAGGAACCCACTGTGGCAGCCGTCCGGCGATGCTGTTCCCACAGAAATCTCTTCCGAATTATATAAACCACTGCAAGATCTTCGTTTAACTTGCGGGTATCTTCATCAGACTTTGCCCAACACCGCCTTTATTCGGATCTATCGTAACATTGCTAAAGAAATTGAAGAATGGTACTGGCGCAATATCATTACCAACACCCAGTTTTCTGTTCATGACGGATTGCAGTTGGAAGCCGATCTGCGACTGGGTCTGTGGAAAGTCACTAAACGATGGGTCAACAAACCCGAAAACTACACCAAGAGGTAATATATTATGCAATTCTTAATTGTACCTTTGGTATAAACAATGATGCATAGGTTAAAAGAAGCGATCAAATTGCTGACTTTGCCTTTTGGCACGGCGGCAACGGACGACGGCCTTACAGTGCACGACCCTACTGTATGCTGTGAAGCCCTCATGACATTTTTGAATGATCCATCTCAATCCTTTAAACTAACAGCAGCCTTGGAGCAGCTGGGAATTGACGTGCTGACACATTCTCAAATACGCGATGTTCTACGTCGGCGAAACGATATGCTGTACAGCTGGAATTAACGTCGATTCCACTAATATTTGTGCCTTTTTCTGAAACACTACATACCCTTTCAAATAAACCTTTCTGAGACGTCTTGTAAAGTAATCAGCCACTGACTCGTAACTTAGACGACAGGGGCGATCGATATAGTGGCCCAATCATGTGATCTGGAGCGGGACGATTCGCGATTTGATTTTCCGAGATCGTATTGTTTCCTTGACTTGTTCTTTTTTTCTAATCGACCCTCAACATTATGGCATCAGAGAATTTAAATAATGCAACACCTAATAAGCATGTGGAGCGACCTCCTGGCACCACCTTTCTTCCACAAGCACGAGTCAAACGCGTCATTAAAGAAGATAAGGATGTGTCGCTCATCAATGCAGAAGCCACTTTTTGCGTCTCATTTGCAACCGTAAGATCAAAAATATATTACAGCCGATCCGCGCCCCATGGCTAACAGTTTTTTAGGAACTGTTTATGGAGTATCTCGTAACGGAAGGCTTTTCCAGAGCAAAGCGCGACAAACGAAAGACCATATATTATAAAGATCTTGGTATGACCTGATCGCCTGTATACAGCTTTTGATTCTCATGTAACTGAACGATCATGATAGCCACTGCGGTGAACGAAGTAGAGCAATTTGAGTTTCTAGAAGATGTCATACCCCAGACGATGACGTTGAAAGCAGCTTTGGAACGGCGCAAAGAAGCTTTAGGAGAGGAGCATATAGAAAGCCGACTAGCAAAGAAGCAGAAAACGAGTTCCACAGCCATGGAAACTAATTCCACGGCAACAAAAGAGGTTGACGAGAACAATGACGGATCGACTGTCACAGAATCCGAAGCCCCCACTCCTTCAGTGGCGACGTCAGCAGCGACACCCGCCGATTCACAAAATGATAATGGACCTTCAGAGGAAAAGCCTGAAGATTTGTAAACCAAAAACGAATATCAAAAAAATAAAACTGCCATATTTGGGTTTCCTGGCGTCATGCAATGTCAACTGGTGAAAAAGCGGAGTGTGACACGAAGCTTTTCCCTTTTTTTTTTTTCCCACTGATATAAGCGTGGATGCAGTTGATTCTGTGCTGTTCTTCTCTCCCTAATTTGTTTTACACGCTTACCTTTTCGAATATGTTACCACTACTTATCACTCGTCGTTGTCTTCCTCGCGTTGTGCGTTCCCATAATCCAACGGTCGCCGGCCTTCACAGCCCCGTACGAGCGTTTTCAGCGACCACTAGTGTCAAATCGCAAGACGATAAGACTCCTGAGAAAAAAGAGACTAACGGAGATAAAGGTCGAGCCAACGAGTTGATTGAAGCCGTTTTGTATGGATCAAAGAAAATCAAAGAAGAAGAAAGTCAAACGCACTCTAAGGTGCTTGCCAGAGGAAAATATGTGCATGAACTTCAGAGTAATACCCATTTTTGTTCTTCATTTCGTAACTTTGGCGTGCTAATGTTCCATATCTACCTAGAACATCAAGTGAAACCAGATAAAGTCGAAGAATATATCGAGTTGGTGTAAGTGACTTGTGTGGTCAATGGGAGGAAGTGCGATTATGATAACACGCCCATTTTCATTCTTTGCATAGATCGAAGCATTTTCCCGTGATCGCTAATAATCCTGCAAACGACGTGCACCTTTGTGGCAGTTGGGAAGTGATTGTGGGTGAACAGGACACATTCTGTAAGTGGTGAAAATAGATGCACCCTTCGATAGCTCAATGGTTTCAAGCTAATCACTCTCATTGTACCACTCGCAGTCCATGTTTGGGAATACAAAGGTTATCCCGGACATCAACACACAATGACACAGCTTGCTCAGAACCCAGTATGTATTTAAGAGCAGGAGCGATAGAGAGAGAGAGGAGGGGAAGGGCACACCTTATTGCAATGAAACTTTGAACGTTATACTCATAAGTGGGATGTGTTCTATAGGAATTTATCGAGTTTTCCAAGAAACTGTCTTCTCTACTTATTCGACGAGAGAATAATATGATGCTTGAATTCTCCTTTTGGCAAACCTCACCGCCAAAAGTCACTGATGGCATCTACGAACTGCGTAAATACACTCTAAAGGTAAATCGATGATAGATCAAAAGGCGTGAGAACAGACAAGTAACTATGTTGCAATATATTAGCCGGGACACTTGCTGGAGTGGGAGATGAACTGGTATGTAGAAACGAGTGATCATCGAGATTGAATATGCCGAAAAATTAACAGTCGATTATACTATCAAGGCGCAAAGGATTGGAGTGCCGCCGTCAATTCTGTGAGCCTGTGGGAGCTTGGTTCAGTCAATTAGGTGAATTGAACACGGTGCATCACATGTGGACCTATCCGTAAGTGGTCGGACAAAATGTCACTATTGAAAGGATCTCGAGAAACTCAAAAGCCCCTTTTCTTCAGTGATCTCCAAACCCGAAAAACCACCCGCGAAGATGCTTGGAAAGTGGACGGTTGGGCTGAAACGGTGTATAAAACAGGTACGATCCGCAAGAAAAGATTTGTATTTAAATAATCGAGTCACTCATGATGTGTATTCGCAATAGTGCGCTTGGTGGACAATATGTATTCCTATATCTTGAAACCTCTAAAGTATAGTCCACTCCGATGAGTCGCTTAAGCCAAAAACATCGCACAAACTAATAAAAATAACACGTTGAAAAACGAAACTACCAACACCATGACGAAACGACGGCAGCGTCAAATCGCATCTCTTCCTGTTGGGGCTTCTTGCCATTGATGTGTTCATGCCCCCTTTTTATTTCATCTTTGCAAAACATAATGTGGCATTGGTTCCACCGAAACCAAAGCTATTTGTTAATGCAGCTCGCACTTCTTGTCTTTCCTGCGCTTCCAAAGGAACATAGTTGAGATTAAATTCATCACATGAATTTCCAGGATGGTGGAGATTCAAAGTGGGCGGTAGAACGTTCTAAGACGAAGTTAGCTTTGCATTGGATTGGCTGAAATTTTAGCATTTCCTCACATGATAGACCGATAAGATGGTGAAAATGGCTTCCACAGATCCAGCTGCACCAAGTAAATGACCGGTTGCGCCCTTTGTCGATGAAACGTTGATCCGGTCATGGTACCCATCAAATACGGTTTTGATGGCGCGATTTTCAGCAGCATCCCCTAGGATCGATCTTTTAGGAAATTGTAATTTTTCGCTACTGAATATGGATAGATCACGTACCAACAGCCGTGCTTGTAGCGTGAGCATTGACGTAGTCAATATCGGCCGGTGTCAATTTAGCATGAGCCAGGGCCCGTTTCATCGAATTTACGGCACCACGACCATCCTCTGGCGGCGCAGTCATATGATGCGCATCGCCCGATAAGCCATAGCCTCTTAATTCCGCATAAATTTTGGCCCCTCGCTTTTTAGCGTGTTCCAATTCCTCTAGGACAACCACTCCTGCTCCTTCGCCCATGACGAAACCTGCTCTATCACGATCAAACGGTCGGGAGGCTTCGGTAGGCCGATCTTCAAAACCGGCTGCCAAAGACTTGGCTCTAATAATTGTGGCTGAGCAAGGGAGACGTATGGAAAGATCGAATGATAACCCAGCAACTGCTAGTTTACCTTGCAAATCCAGCGATAGATAAAGGATGTACACAAGCTTCTGTACCACCCGCCACCATGACATCTGCATCGCCATATTGGATGAAACGCATAGCGTCACCAATGGAATGAGCGCCGGTGGTGCAAGCAGTTGACACTGCATGATTCGGTCCCTTTGTTCAGCTGGTAAACAATTTTTTTTTCTTGCAACGCGGAAATACGATCCATGTCGGGTTACCTGGAAACCGTATTTCATTGTTAAATGGCCTGCAGCCATGTTGATGAGAATTCTGGGAACAAATAATGGTGATATTTTGCGATGACCCTTTGGGGAGAACAAACAAGCCAGCCCGTCAGAGGATGTGATGAAAAAATAAACAAATAAACATACCGATGCTGCGAAAGCCACGGAGGTAGAGTAAAGATCATCAATGCTTCCCATGCCTGAGCCTATACAAACGCCCTATTGACCCCCAAAAATTCTCTGTAAGTATGCGTTCTTTCTAAGCTCATGCGCAGAAAAAAAAAAGCACGAGACTCACGGTTCGTTCTTTTTCCTGATCAGTTGCAGAAGTCCAGCCGGCATCGTTCAGGGCTTGTTTCGCCGCAGCAATCGCATATTGGGTGAATGTAGCCATCGTTCGTGCATCCTAAGTGGGTGATTAGTTGATCAGTCAAGTTGAAGCTGTGGTTGGTTATTTACGCCTTTATCAAGCCAGTCTGTGGGAAAAAAGCCGCCTTCATCGATGGATCCTTTAGGAACCGTGGCAGCGATTCGGACCGGTAGTTGCTTGAATGCTTCGTTATGAATCAAGGATTCAATACCGCAATGTGCGTTTAATAGGTTCGTCCAGGCATTGGCAACACCCACGCCTACAGGCGTCACCAAGCCCAAACCGGTAACAACCACTCGTTTTGCCATATCTTACACTATTTGGGAAAGGACACGATCGGGCCGACCTGGCAATTTTTAAAAGTTCCTTTGCAGGGATTTGAGTCCTTTCAATCAGCGATCTGATTTATAGCAATTCACACAGCTCAATGGTTTTTTGAGATGAGCCTCAACGACCTACTTTTTGCAAAAGCATAAATGCTTTGTTGACCCGATTCAATCAAGGCTTTAATCAACGGTGTAAGTTTTTGGCTTGCAATGGTTCAATAATGGCTGATCAGATTAAAAAGCGGCAAACAAAAAAAAAAAAAAAAAAAAAAAAACCACTGTAAACCATAACGATGATCTCGATACAAGGAAATTATTATTGTTTCAAAAGGTTTATTATTATATTTCTAAACCCTTGGAGATGTAAAGTAAATGATAGAGGAACGCTTTTTTTATGAGGAGATTAGAGAAAAGGGAGTAGGGTTTATGCGTCGGTTCCAAAGCTCTTATTCATCATTTCAGCTTTTTCATGTTTCTATTCAAGTTGAAGGTGAGTGAATATTCTTCAGGATGTAATATCCGTTTATATTATTACCTTTTCCTGATGTCGTTTTCGCTCTTCCTTTTTCTCTGTTTTTGATTTCGGGCGGTGCTTGTCCATGACTTGCGTGAGGTCCTTGTGATGACTGCTCTTCTTTGCCATATTTGTGAATGAATATAATGTAGATTTGTTCTTGATGGTTGATGGTTTTAGCGGCTTAAAAGTTGCGGTTACTTATATATTCTTCATATGTTTGCAAGGGTTTAGAATGGCCGCACGGTATTTGGCAGCTTTTTGATCGTCGCATTACCAATATATTTCCAACGATTGCCATTAAAGTTCAGGTGTGACAAAGACAACCAATTGGGTGAAGAAGGTTTTTTTTTTCTTTCATCACCGGCAGATAACTCGTGGCGATATGAGTCAAACTCGACGGCAGCTCGTTATTGTTGGCAATCTCGTTTCATGCTTCAGATCGCACTTGTTCCTTATTGGTCAATTTGTGTTAAAGCATAGCTGCATGGAAAAAAAAGCAAATGGATCCCAGCGGATTAGCATAAAGCACGAGATCTTTTTCTGCGATTCAAGGTCGCGGCGATCAGATTATAAGCACAGTTATGCATGGATAGTAGAAAATGCGTGACAATATGATTTATGCATTGGAAAGATGGAATCTGCATGCGTTTGTCAACAAATGAGACAGCAATTGATTACTAAGAATCAACTGCGGCGTATCATCCTTTTACTTGTGTGATTAAATCCCATTCCGCAGAATACGATGATGTTCATGTGATCGCCGCGCGCGCCGACGAGAGAAAGATGGTGAAACTAGAACGAGTAATAAACCATAACTTTGATGAATGGCAAGGCAATAAATTGTATGCAGCCAGTCAATGACACACCGTAGGAAATTAAAAAAAAAAGCAAAAGTAAACACAGCCGCGGTTAGTCTGGAATAGCGAGTTCTCGGCCTTTCCGGCAACTCATTTTTCCATGAGCGGATCGGATCTAATTTTCTCCTTCCACCTACCGCAATGGAAATTATATATCCGAAAAGCAACAATCCATTATTCATCGGTCAGAAATGAACGTAGGCGTCGAATACAGTTGTCCAAGCATTGTTTAAAGAATAGGCTAAAATTACAAGAATCAAATTTTTGAGTTCATAGAAAACAACATGTTTTCTTTTTTTTCTTTTTTTTTCTGCTGCGCAACATGAGGTAAAAAGGCCGGAGAAGAAGCGAGCAACTTCCTGGATTTCCAAATTTAGAAGCGTTGAAATCTCGCCAAGCGTCATCACATAAAAAAAAGGTCCAATGAGCAACTGTAGCTGGACACGGATAAGCTTCTCTTTAGTATAGATCCTCTTTTTCTTCCCGCTCTTCCTCTTTTCAATCACATTTTAATTGTATTTCGATATACACATATCATTTACATTTTGTGAACATATACCATTTCAAATACACATATACAATCCGTCCTTTCTCGGAACTTACATACACTATTACACCACCATAGATCTTTTTTTTTTCTTATACACTAGATTCTTTTACTTTTCATCGCCCCACTTTTTGCACTGCGCCCAATCGCCAATTCACTCACATCAAAAAAAATTCTCCCCGAATGAGTCACGACAACTCCCACTCGTCCCAAGTTAACAACTTAAGCGAACGCTTGAACAATGTCGATTTCACTTCGCCTGCCAAAATCTTCCAAAACAAGCACGCTCTGCACCAATTTGAAAACGTGACGCCGGATATATCAGTGCCGGGCACTCCCGTGTTGCGTTACAAACATAGTGGCTCCGAGGCTCCGTCTTCCAGTTATCCTTCCCCTTCACTAGGCCCTCACACATTACCGCCAAGCGCACAGCACACTCCGCCATCTCTGTCACCTCACACGAGCGATGACCAGAGCAGAAAACGGTACTCTTCCCCTCACTTTGCGCCGTCATCCGGTGCTTCCACCCCGCAATCTCTGTCTCGACCGCCATCGGGAAGCCGAAAAGATATTAAACCCACCACCAGCAAATCTTCCTCTATTCCCAGTGCTCGCTCCTCCACCCCGTCCCAATTTATCTTCAAAAAACCCGAATATGACAAAAATTATCATCATACGCACTTTCACCATCTCGAAAAGAAAGATACCTTATTACACGATCTGAAGCGCTTCTTTAAGCCTGACAAATCAAGAAAGAGCAAGAAGAGCGGCGAAGACACCGCCAGTGTACGAAGTACTTCCAGTCGTATCAGTGATTTATCCTTTGCCAACGAATTCAACAGGGATTTGGAGGGCCGCTATGGAAAATGGGGTAAGTGGACCCACCCAATGAGAAACCATGGGTGTTTTAGTATTCTCTCCGAAAACTCATCCTCCGCGTGCGTCCTTTTTTTTTTTTTTCACAGGTCGATTTGTCGGAAAAGGTGCCGGTGGCTCGGTACGACTTATCCGTCGTAGCACCGATAACAAGACATTTGCCGTCAAACAGTTCCGTAAACGGTTACCAAACGAAAATGAGAAAGAGTATGTGAAAAAGGTCACGGCCGAGTTCTGTATTGGTTCGACACTGCATAATGAAAACGTCATCGAGACATTGGACATTATCCAGGAAGGATCCTCTTTCTATCAAATCATGGAGTTTGCGCCGAACGATCTGTTCAACATTGTCATGAGCGGAAAAATGACGCGCGAGGAAATTGCGTGTTGTTGGCGACAATTGCTCAATGGCGTGGAGTATCTCCAGTCGATGGGTATCGCACATCGTGACTTGAAGTTGGATAACATGGTATTGGATGGTCGGGGCATAGTGAAATTAATCGATTTTGGCTGTGCCGTGGTCATCAAGTACCCTTACGAGAAAGATGTTCACATGAGCAAGGGTATCTGTGGATCTGACCCTTACATTGCCCCCGAACAGTATACGCAGCCCGAATACGATGCGCGCAAAACCGACCTTTGGTCCTGTGCTATCATATTCATTTGTATGACCATTCGTCGTTTTCCCTGGCGATTACCCCGTCCTCACCAAGATCAGTCCTACAAAAACTTTGTCACGCCATCAACCCAAGGAGCGAGCCGATTATTCAAGATGCTGCCTCGCGAATCAAGGCATATTATTGAACGTATATTGCAACCTGATCCGACCAAGCGTGCTTTCCTGGAAGAAGTATTGGCCGATAGTTGGGTAAAAAGCATCGGCGTTTGCACACCGGTACGGGCTGTTACGGATCATCCTCATCATCTGCTGGTGGAACCCAATCCCGAGGCCATTGAAAAATGTAATATCGTTCTCCTCGAACCTCCATCCACGTCTTCGGATGATGGGTCCTCAGCAACCGATAGCAAGAGAAAGAACCGTGCCAAGAAGGTGAAGGAGGCCGTTCATCATTAAAATGCTAACTTTTCTTCCCCATTTTTCACCCCACTCAACAAGCTTTTTTGACTTTTTTTTATCATTGTTTTTTTGTTTTTTTGTTTTATTTATTTTCTGTTGCACTTGTTCTTATTTGAATTTTTGCTATTGTGTATATGTGTATTGTTGCTCAATAAAGAAAGATGTAACCTCCATTACGGCATTATTTCTTTGTGCGGGCGTCGATGAGCTTCTGGACGGCATCCAGGGTAGGGCGGCCCAGAACGGCTTTTCCACGCTCCCAATCAACCACAATAGGACGTTCCAACATGTCCGGCTTGGATTTAAGAATTTCCACGATGGTTGAGGTATCGATGCTTTGTCCTTGGGCTTCAGGACGAAGGATATCTTTGGGAGGGACTTCTTGGGACAGATACTGAACCACTTGCCGCAGCTGATCTTTGGTGAAGTTGTCCACCACGTCCAAGCGATAGTAGTCGTCACCATTTGCTTTTTTCTGTCTAGATTGCATCAGTGCCAGCGCTGCGCGCGATTTGCTGCATTGAGGACTGTGGAAGATGGAGAGAACAGGGAGAGACCTCGGAGGACGAAAAGACATGGTTGGGATAACACTTTTTTGGATTGGAGCGAGAACAAGAGAACATCAACCGCAACCGCAACACGAATTTTGAGCCCTTTATTGAATCGCCGAAAATCCTCCTTCGAAAATGATGTCATCCTGCTCATGAGCTCGAAATAGCTTGGAATACCAATAGAGCCTTGAAAAGCCTCCGCCAAACCACTGACTGCGTGATTCCCTGCGATCGTTGGACAGGACAAACCATTATCGTCCGTGGCCGCTAGATATGAGTCACACAATGTCCGCATCTTGAATGGCGAGGATCCGCAGCCGAGTCGCAAGAATCCTTATTTTCAGTGAATGCAACTGCACCTACATCACACGTGCCAAGACACTGCCAAAAATTATATATGAACGCGATACGTCCCATTGTTCCGGGCTTTACATCATGAATAGGTTTCATCAAGACCGTCCCTTGTTTTCCGTTTGCCTTGAGCGCAGTCAGCAATATGACTCCAATGGACTGAGTGTTTGTGCGACGTTGCAATGCTTCGAATCTTTAATTTCATATTATTCAGCAACCATGACGCGATCGGACCACGTTGAACTCGATCAAATCGGGATATGTGATGAGATGCTGATATGATATATTGATGGGCTTTGCATCATTTCAAACAGTCGTTGGCTTATGATTTCCTCGACTGACATCCACAGAGATTAAGAACTCGAGATACAGTAAACAGACTGAGTGCCGGAAGAAGTTGCATTAACACCGTCCGAGCGTGAAACAGGTGAAAGAATGACCAGTCCAATCAGATTATCGCGTTCATTCACGACCAACTTTGCATGCAGCGCTCTTTGGTTGAAAGCCCCGCTAAACCGCGACAGCGTAATCATATGGAAAGCAACTTTGTCCCAATGGAAATTTAGCTGATGGCTCGTTGTTGTTCGATAATGTCGCAATTATAAAACAAAAGTACAATCTTTGGCTAGGCTAAAATTGCAATTACGTCGAAAAGGTCTCTGTTGCGCCGCATACATTAGTCATTTGATAACCATAAATCGCTTTTATGGTATAACAATCCTCCTGTATTCGCGGCTGCTTATTGTTCTACTGAGCCTAATACAACAATGTGATCTCATCCAACGATTCTCATTATCACGTTTGAAATCTTTAGAATATAATTATCTTTTCATGTATTAAAACAAAAGCTGTATGTACAGGCAATGAAGCAAAATTAAAAAGGCAGCTGAAAGAAAACAGAGAGAACGAAAGAAAAAACTTGGATAACATTTAAACTGGAGAATAGCATAAAAGCACAGAATTAACAAAAATCAAAGCCCAAAACCATCAGAATCAACGGTGCTCCTCTTGACCACCAAATTGACCATAGTTTTGCATCGCTTGTACAGGCGGCCATTGCTGCTGCTGTTGTGACGATTGCGACTGGGGTTGCGACGGCTGTGGTTGTTGACTGGAGGGTGGTTGCGGCTGTGGTTGCAATGGTTGCTGGTGAGGGGTTTGTTGAGACGGCGGTTGCTGTGGATTCGAAGTCGCATTACTTGATTTTTCTTCCGATTGCTCTCCAGAAGGCAATGGGGTGTGAGCAGGAGAAGCCGAACCGTAGTCCTGCTTTATGTCTTTCTCATCTTCTTGGCCAGGCAATTTGCCCGTCTTTTCCAACTCCGCCACTTCGGCCGCCGCTAATGAAAAGAAACAATCATTCATCAGTTTTTCACCGCTTCACACGCGATCAGTTTCTGTGTTTTATATGATCCTTTTACTTACTCAAAAATCTGCCGCCAGGACCACGAGGCCGGCGCATGGCGTGTCTGTGACGACTCTCGTGGAGATAGGGTTTCCGGGCTTTGGCGATCTTATTTAATTCTTCCAAACGTGCTCTGGCCGCTCTACGTTTGAGAATTCGATGGTACTGTTTTGCGTTTACGTAAAGTGGTTCTTCTACGGGCTCGGTAGGCGCTGCTGATGGATGCTGTTGTTCCAATGTTCGATAAGCCATCGCTTGCGGTGGGGAAGAAGCCATCATGGGTTGCTATTGCGTGCATGGTTAAGAAAACTGTTTTTGTTTGTGTGGTTTTTGCTAGTTTTTTATCACTTACCATAGCATATCCCGGATGCTGTTGATACGGCAAATGGCGAGTAGCATCATAGGAAGGATGCAGAGGCTGCTGTTGCTGGGGTTGCTGCTGCTGTTGAGGAGGTTGTCTTGGATCAATGTTTTGAGAATGATGGTGCTGCTGTTGCTGTTGATGTTGCTGTTGCTGTTGCTGTTGATGAAGATCCATACCCGGTTGGAAAGGTGAAGCTGCTGCTGCCACGGCCGGGTTGTAAGGGTTGACCTCGTGAGGATGCAAGATGTGATGTGGCTGTGAAGACGAATCGGTCATGGCTTGGGCCAATTAAAATGTGGTTGTGGCGCGAATACTGAAGTCCAAACAAACAAGCACAAAGGAAAAGGATTGGCTGTTCGTAACAAGTACAAGGACAAGGATTGGCTGTAAAAAAAAAAAAGTTTTTGAAGGAAAACGTTAAAAATAATAATTTGCAAGGGTGGCCCAATCAAAACGAAGTGACTGCCTACTTATCTATCGGAGCTGAATTGAAGCTTCCCATGGGTTTATTCTATTTCGAAATCCATGCTTTTGGGAAACGAGAGCGTCAACATGGAACTATCAAACTGTTCCCGCCCCACCATTCATCGCACACCATACAGTTGCGATTCTTGCACGATAAATAATGAAGAGAGTCAATAAAATAGAGAACCAAAGGGTGGACCATTATGTATGCTCCTCCAGAATTTCTATAAAATAAAATTGCGTCATGTTCCCTGGATGAGATTATTTATCCAAGTGTTTTTATACACTGAATATGTCATGATGACACCTCGATATGGTGACTCACCTTTCAGTAAGTGACTAGTTGATACTGTAGTCCATAGAACGAGAGATCTCTTACTCGTGAAAAACGTATCGGCTCTATTTGACTTCGTCTTGCAGAGAATACGATGCCTGTTATATCAATTTTAAGTGCATGCAGCGACAGAAACATCTATTACTGCTGCATGTGGAAGGGTATTTGCAATGGTTGTCATTCTTTGGGAGTTTCTTCCTAGACATACTCAACCCTGCGATTATTTGAACTGTAAAAAAATGAAGACTGTTTTTAACAATCAGCATGTGCTGACACTCAGCGGATTAAACAAAATAAAATGGCCGATGGTTTATCTGCTTGCATTGCTATAGCTACAAACCCATGTAAGCGCAATTGGCACATTTAATAAGTTGCCCGACTAAACTCGGCAACGTAAAGCAAGGTCACCAGCCGATGGATGGCGTCTGCGATCTATATCGAGCTATGTGATGTTGAGTTTCGGGATGACAGATTGGGCTGCCGACAAGGTAATACTCGCAAATTCAATGTATACGATGCAAAGTACGAAAGGACCGCGTAGTCAGGGTTAAGGGAAAATGAGTGCCTTTACAGTACAGATCCATGGACAAGCTCGCCGTGGCGACCATTGCCATATAATAACTGAACCATAGAAACGACCTCGTAGCTATGACAAATGATACCCAGACAGGCCAACGATGCATCTTTAGTGATCAAAAATATTGTTGATTTCAGGAAAAAAAAAACTGTCCATCAAATCCAACGAATATTCAAAGGCCTACAGTAATATTTTTACAATACCACATGTAGTGCCTGCATGGACGGTTTTTTAGCTTTCTTCGTTATGCGATGTGGGCAATGGCCATATGCTTATCAAGCGAATGATGATACTGTAGAGTTCGCAAAAACACTCAACATTGAATCTCCAGCTCCATGTGAAAAACATTGAGGCTTGAGTACCTACAATCGACAGGAACTCTCCATATATCTGCATTCACGAAAATCATTCTTCGGTTTTTGATATCGCTAAAGGTTCTATGAGAAATACTGGACACAATGAAAGCAACACGCTACCGAAATGATGTTCGTTAAATCACGATTACTGCAGGAAAAAGTAGGAACGAATGGATATAACAAAAAGAAGACGCTGATCCTAAAAAATGACACCCTATTAACCTCTATTTGTGGCTATGAAAAATAAATATCAGGCACCAATCATGAACAATGAAAAAGCATTCGAAAAAGACATGATGCAGTAAGTTGATGATTACAGAAGATGAAGGGACAAATTTCTTGGAAGATGCCCAACGAAAGCGGCGTCCCAATAAAATGCAATGTCGCAAATCGACTGGGAAGTTTTTTAATTTTCTTTCGGCTGTCAACTCACTTGGACTTATTGCTTGGCCATTGACCCTTTAGTTACAACAATGAGCGATCACAATTTCCTAAGTAATCTCAATGAACAGCAGTATAAAGCAGTAGTGTCCCCTGCATCGTCGCTCCAGATATTGGCAGGTCCCGGATCAGGAAAAACAAGAGGTAGATCGACAAAGGTGTTGCAAAGTTGACAGCTGCGCTCATTGATTTATCTCACAGTCTTGACCACCCGGGCGGCATGGCTCGTGCTCGAGAAAAAGATAGATCCGGAAAGGATCATGGTAGTCACATTTACCAACAAGGCTGCCAGAGACATGAAAGAAAAGCTGGAACAGCCTACTTTGCTGGGAAAACGTGTCTCCTCACAGCTTAAAATGGGGACGTTTCACTCCATCTGCGCTTGCATTGTGCGACGGTACTATAGCTTTGTGGGCCTAAAAAGTAATTTCACCATCGTTGAGCCGGCGACCTGGTAAGCTGCTATTGACAGCTGGTCTTTGGGCTTTTCTCTGACTTATTTGTCGATAGCATTAGAATCATAAGCAAACTTCAAAAAGAGCTTAAAGCTCAACTCAGCGAATTTGCGCAGGATGCCAAAAAAGCGGGTATATATGTTTGATCTTCCAATCTGTTCGTTCAAGGGAGTTTACCATCGTTTTGTAGGTTATTTCTATAGTGAAATATCGAAAGCAAAGAACCAAGGCCTGAAATGCGCCGAGTTTGCAGCAACTCGAGGGAAAGAGTTCAAATACCGAGATATAGCGGTTCTCTATAGGTAGGTGATGTGATCTTCTTTGAAATCTGGATATTCTCTTATTCATTGTTAGTGCTTACGAAGAACGGCTGTTGTCACAAAATCTCGTGGTGCGTATCAGGCCTTAACATGTCCGCACAAGAACTGCCCCTGACAGTTGCGTTAGGATTTCGATAATCTACTGCTCTACGGTAGGGATTTGTTCCGATACGTGACCGAACTCGAGAATTTTGTCGGTCATGTTCTCGTGGACGAGGTAAGAGAAATTCGGCCTTTTTTGCATGTTTCAGGCGTTTGATCATTGACTGGCGTTGTAGTTCCAAGATACAAATGTCGTCCAGTATGACTTGGTGTGTTTGTTAACGCAGAAAGGCCAGAGTCTTACTATTGTCGGAGGTAACGCTTAGCCAGTGCTCGGTATATTATATAATGTTGGGCTCACCGGTCGCTTTAGATCCGGATCAGGCTATCTTTGGATGGCGATATGCAGATGTTACCAATTTTATAAAGATGCGGAGCGACTTTCCTCAGACAGAAATTGTCAATCTGGAAAGAAATTATCGCAGTACTTCATCCATCCTCAATTCGGCACTTCATGTTGTCAGCTATGGTATGATTACAAATATGGTGTATCCAAGTAACATAATATTCATGGACCACTACAGATAAAGACCGAATCGAAAAGGCACTGTTTACGACCAATGCAGAAGGCGTACAGACGTCGTTGCTGTCGACATCTTCCGCTGAGACCGAAGCAGGCACTGTTGCCGAGGAGATCCTTCGTATAGTGAAATACTCCAATGGCTTGATCAGCTACAAGGACATTGCCGTGCTCGTCCGGATGAATTTCATGTCGCGAAATTTGGAACAAGCATTTGCTGCCTTAAGTCTTCCACATATTGTGGTATGTACCTCATTGCTTTTTTTCAGAGACGGCTGCTCTAATTCGATCTAAAATTTTAGCTGGGCGGTCTGCGCTTCTTTGAGCGAGCGGAAGTAAAAGATATTCTTTCCTATCTCAGCTTCTTCCATAACCCATACGATACCGAAGCCCTTGAACGCATCATTAATGCTCCCAAACGAGGTATCGGCGAAGTCACTTTACAGCGAATACAGAAGCTCTGTCATGAGCGGAAAGCGGAAGCCATTGATATTCTGAAAGCGATCTGTGGCATTACAAAGCCATCTGAACCTTGTGATGTGGTTATATCAGCTGCAGCCAAGAATGGACTGAAGCGACTGCTCAATTTGTGTACAGAGGTTCAGACCATGTTGAAAGAAAAGGTAATATCGCTGCGGCGCCGTTACTCTAATCTGTCTACTGATATTTGTCACTTTTTAGCAAACCATTGCTGACATCATCAAGCATATCGTGTCCTCCCTTGAATATGAACAATATTTGAAGTTATCCTACAAGCAAGACTGGGAATCACGTTGGGAGAATATTGGTGAATTGGTCACAGTAGCTAAGAGCTTTGCTAGTGGCAGGTTGGCGAATGACTCAAGGTACGTCGCTATTGCGTTTTTTAACCTACCAGTCAAACTCATACCGTGCCTGCACTTAGTACCGATACCTCGGATCTGCTGGTACAATTTCTGGAATCTACAACACTCGATGTGGATAGAAAAGAACATGAAGAAGCCTCTGAAGGAGTAAGCGTTCATATATCTGGTTTTGTCGCGGCTGGGTAACTCATGAATTTTTTGTCCTATTAGAAAGTAACCATCGCTACAATGCACACAGCCAAAGGTAACATGGATATACAATCTTTTTTGTTAAAGCATGTTAATAATAGTTACGTTTTAGGACTTGAGTGGCCTGTTGTTTTCGTTGTAGGCTGTGAAGAAGGCATTGTACCTCATCAAAAGGCTGACACCAAAGAAGAGAGGTAAATCACAGTGACTTACATTATTATTTCAGTGCTAATGGAATCGTATCTACATGCAGCCGTTTATTATATGTTGCAATGACTCGGCCTAGATGTAAGTTTTAGAGAGTGAAGGACCTTTCTAATGTACTAAATGGAAGACTAGGTTTCCTTTATTGCACTTACGCACGCGTTCGTACCGTGTGGGGCAACACCAAAGCAAGCGATTTGACCCGTTTCTTATCCAACTTATCCCCAGACTTTTATCAAGAGCGTACGCCTCCATGGGATGCCAAAGTGCGAACATGGGTTGCTGGTTTGCTTAACAGGCCCTTACCTGAAGAATCTGGCAATTTAGAGCATCCTGGTGATTACTATCCTGTCCTTAGCGAGGACAATAAGTAAGTGATCTAGAAAAATGCCGTTGACTGACACTTGGGCGTTAACCATTCATCATAGTTCCGACGAGGACTCCTACAGCTCCTACAACTCGTATAGTGCTAGTAGTCAGCAGTTTTCTTCTTTTGGTAGCCCAAAGTTGCTGCTGCAAGAGGATTCGAATCGAAAGTACAATCGAACGGCATCCAGCACCAACGTTCCTAATAAGCGCATCAAGCAAGAAAATTATTTCCCCAACACTCCGATCAAACGAGAGGGCCAATCTCAACCAATCAAACAGGAATATTTTTCTGGCGGGTTCTCATCACCAAGGAATTTGCCAAAATCATCGGCTAAATCTTACCGCAAAAATTGGTCGGGACGGAAACCGGTAAAGAAAGAAGAACCATCAGAGGTACCATTGAACGATTTCGTCCGGGGTATTGTCCGTAAACATTGCAGGGGTTCCGGGATGTTCACAAAGTCACAGATCACGCAAATGGTGCAGAACGACTGCCATAATCGTAACAGAGCGACATCAAGCGACGCTGCCGTCGAAGCGATGAATCAAGAAATACAGCAACTGGTACAAAACGGGGTTTTGGCTCAATTCAAAACAGAGAACGACGATGTAAAATATGCTGTCATTGATACCTAAATTCATATCCTATTTGCTTCTTTTCGTCTCTTTTTATCCTCACATGTCCCAAGCATTTGTATGTCCAAAGTCAACTATAAATCATGCTACAGTAAAAATCATCGTTTCCCTGTTTGTGTAACTGTTTGTCTGCCTTGCCCTTAATCCTTCACTCTATGCGACAATTTGACCGCAATTACAGTATCATCAATGGTTCATCACATATTAGCAACAGGATGCAACCCCGTGTATCATATAAGTCTCTATGTGTACGAAATAAAAGACGTTAACGGGATCTTGCTCTTTTTTTTTTTTTTTGGCTCTGCATTTCACCATATCAATAGGGCTCGAGTGTGGAAGGAATCGTCGGAGTTGTAGTGTCACGTGATAGCAAGTGACGCGTCATGGTTCTTACGCACTTGTTCGAATTTCATGGCAATCGTCCTTTATCTATCTAACCTCCCCGCTTGACTTCCATAATGTTTTTAACCCGTTCGGAATATGACCGTGGTGTGAATACCTTCTCTCCAGAAGGACGTTTATTCCAAGTCGAATATGCCATCGAAGCCATCAAGGTACAATGAGTACTACGACAGTGTCCCTTGACCTTCTTTTTTGTTAACCAGTTTTCTGCAATAGCTCGGTACCACAGCCATTGGCATTCAAACATCAGAAGGTGTTGTTTTAGCAGTAGAAAAACGTGTCTCGTCCCCGTTATTGGAAGCAAGTTCTATCGAAAAGATTATGGAAATTGACGAGCACTTGGGATGTGCTGTCAGTGGCATGACTGCTGATGCACGAACCATGATCGAGCATGCCCGAGTTGCTGCTCAGGTAAGCCTGAATTTATATCGAATGCCAAAGCAACAACACCGGTTTACTTATCTTTGGCATGGGTAGAATCATCGCTTTACATACGATGAAAAGTTGAAGGTCGAGAGCGTGACCCAGAGTGTTTGTGATTTAGCGTTGCGATTCGGTGAGAGCGCCGAAGGCGAAGAGTCCATCATGGTAAGCAACCAAGAAGCTTATTTTTGTTGAGTACAAGCGCTGATCTTTAGCTTTGGTTTTGTTAGAGTCGACCATTTGGTGTGGCGTTACTCATTGCTGGTGTCGACGAAAAAGGACCACAACTGTAAGCATCGGCACTGCTGTTGACATACGTTCTATCGATTTACAAAAATACTTTTTTATCTTACAGATTCCATGCTGATCCTTCGGGCACATTTATGAGCTATCAAGCCAAAGCTATCGGATCAGGCTCCGAAGGCGCACAGACAGAATTGCAAAAAGAATATCACAGAGTAAGCAGAGGAAACATGAAGAAAGGGGATTTATGGAGGATGAAAATCTAAGAATTGGTCGTAGTCCATGACGTTGCAAGAGGCAGAAACTTTGTCATTGACGGTCCTTAAATCTGTGATGGAAGAAAAGCTGAACAAGGCGAACGTACAATTGGCTTCCATTACACCAACATCATCATTCAAAATTTATTCGGAAGAGGAGTTGCAAACTGTGATTGACAGATTGTAATAAAAGAGTTTTTTGATATTGGGTTCTCTGCGATGGTCTCTATACTAATGTACAGATCATAACGAGAGCGAGGTCAAAAGTAAAAAAGCACCGTGGTGGAAATTTTTAACGAGGAACTTGTTGTGAAAAACGTTCGTTTCCAATGGCTGCAGGATGATGGTACGATCCGGGCATATCGCTGCGAACGTGAGCAGAAGTCTTTGTATAAACCGCGTGGTCGCTTTTTCGATTACCATCCGATGCCACAGTAGCATTTCTAGTGACGATATTGATTTGAGAAAACAGACTCTTATAGTGATTGCCGGTTTTGCGGTTCGGTGATTGAATGGATGGCTGTGTTGCTTCAGTCTTCGAAACATTCAAAATGGTCTTCAGGCTCGCTAGAGCGTTTATGAGCTGTTGTTGGTTATGGTCATGTTCTGTCCAGTCTGGTTCGCTCAAATCATGCTTATCATTCGACTGAACGCATTGCATTTGTATCTGCTTGGCATCACCAATATCTACCCATTCTTCCTCCACAGCATCCTTCTCCGTTTTGATTTCGGGGACATCACACTAAGTAAGCACAATGATCAGTTTTCTTTTTTTTTTCAGCATATAACGAGATTTAACTACTTACACGTTTCTGAGCCAATCGCCTGAATATTTGCATAGGGGATAGTGATAAGTGAATAAACAATGGAACCTCAGTTGAGGATGTTGAAATTAACATGCTATGTTTGTTGTAACAGAGCCGTATCTGATTTATTTATTCCGGCCAAACATCATCCCCCTTCAACCGACTCTTAGGATTGGGTGATCCAGTTGGACCAACTCCATTTTTACTACCACTGCTATACTATATGCCTTTATTTGTATAACAGAATCAGAAGGCATCAAAAGCCAGATGAAACAGATTGCGCTGAAAGGTAAAATCAATTCTATGCTCATTGGGTACTGAAACACACGTCGCAAACATGAGTGAAACGTTGAGTGAAAAAAAAGTTTCCGTGGACTGCACATTATAATCTGGACTGTAATTATTCTTGATGAACAGTGACACTACAGTTCGCCACGAATGCCAGCAATAACATTATTCGAATGCTTTGATGAAAACCATGTCACACTGTATTGAAGCAGCCGCGAATAGGGTCCTTCCGACCTCGACTTCAGTACGTCAGTCGATGAATGATAAACCCTTTGCACGACTAAGCGCTGGAGGGATATAGTACTAACTTGTCTGCAATCAGTGAGGGCAGGTACACCCAAATCCGAATACGTGAGGATGAACGTCATGATCTCCTTTTTCTCTAAGTAGTTCAGAGTCTCGAAAGATTTCAGATTTTCGGTTATTATCATATTTTATTACTCACAAATCACCATATGTTGGACAGAGTTAATTACAAGCAAAAGTAGTGGAGACAACGACGCATAAGTCATGAGCAATATGGATGAGAGGTGCAATTATAAAGTCGATCTTTTAACTGGCGTTGGTCTGCAAACAAACTTCTTGATGGCTTCCTCAAGTATTAATCGATGCCTGGAATGGCTTTCGGATTTAATGCCCGTGGTAAATGGCAACTTCTTTGATGCATTTGAGTTTCCTAAGCGATCACATCAATAGAACAGTCAATATCGAGCGATTGGTCCACACTTTTAGATATTTCATTAGATCCGTGGTGTTTGCGAATAAAAGAAATGTAGAAACACAGGAGACCTGAAATCTTTCGAGACTCTGATTTATTGAGAAACAAGAGAAGGGAAAAAAGGCTCATTCTACGTCGCTTATGTAGTTTAAGATGAATCGTTATTGAATTGATCGTATTATAAGAAATCGTTTATCTTGTAGATATTGCCGTTGACCTGACTGTCGATGAATGGCAAGAGGATACGGTCGTCCTAGTAACTTTTGGTTGACAAGGAGACGGTGAATTTGTGAATGTGGATCGCATAATTATTTTAGGGCATGTCAAAGGTCGCTTCCTGACTAAGAGCGTCATGAGGAGTGTGGAACAACTCGGTATATTTGAACCTCGAACGTGAGGATGAGATTTATCGTGGACATGCACATAATGCGATGAAAGAGGAATGGATGTATGGGAAATATATTATTTTATCATACCAAACACGACAAGATTCGCAGGTGCTGTCGTCAGACCTGGATAGTCGAGAACTACGAGTCTGATGCTCCGTTTCGACGATTTTGCAACCATTTTCAGGTCAGTAAAAAGTATGAGGAAGATACATGTGAGTAATTAAATGCAAGCAAATATTGTCTAGTTCATTGCTTTACCTTGCATATCACCCATCCTGGTATCTTATGTTTTTCAACATTTCCGTATACTGACCATTGACATCTCTTTCCCACAAAGGCGATGAAGAAGCGCACGATGGTGAAACGTACACCTTCTCGCACTAGCACTTTGTTTTGAGCGTTGTCACCATGCGTTGTAACAGAGTTATCCGTTTCACGCGAAACGGAGCCACTCGATTTCCGGTAGTAGCCCATCGTTAACTAGTCACTACTGCTTGTTCGTACATTGCTTCTGAATAACTTGGCGTTGAAAACGCTGTTTAGGGCGTTGACTAGCGCACGAAAAAGAAATGTTTTGTAAGGGCATATTTATGTCCTCACTGTCATTAGCTGGATACTTACGTCGATATTGTTCCTTAAGGATCCATAGGCTCCTTACTCGGACCGTAATGGCACCAATTCTGGACACTTTGGTGTGGCCCAACTGCAATCTTTTGCTAGCCATTCAGATACTTTTTGTTGAAAGCCTTTGTTATTCTCGACGGCAGGCATATATACCTTGAGCATATCAATCATTTCCTCGATTGTCCAGTCTTTGTACACATAATGATCGTTGTTTAACACCGGCTTTTGCTTGGAGGCAATAGCAGTGAAAAAATCGATGATGCCGTATTTGGTAGATTTGATATCTAGCTTGGATCTTTAGCCTCACAGATTCAATTTTTGCAGATGAAGAAAACGAAGGCTTACCGTTTCCTGTGTAATCATCCGAGCTGAGATTCCACGAGACGGCCTTGCATTTTTTCCTGTTGGATTGTTACCGTTTCTCCGAGCACCATAGAGGAGGCTAGTCCTCTGATCCGAGCTAGCGACCTGATAGTGACACAACATCCGATTCAGCTTGTCGTGTTCAAAGTAGGATATGCTATGCGGACGAGCAAAGAGAGATACGAAATCGGGATGTATAATGCGAAATTGGATCGTAAACGAAGTAAAGTGCATAAAGATCTGGATGACGACTGTCATGGAAAGAGCAGAAAAGAAACTATGTGGGAAGAGAAGAGTAGAAGAAAAAAATGCAAAAAAAAGGAGAAGATGAAAAACAAAGAAACTAATAAAGAAAAAAAAAGCTGCTGCAACCATGAATCCAGCAGGACGCTTTGTTTCGGGGTTTCTGGCTGCATAATGTTGCCTGCTGTATATGGTTCCGGGTGGCGGGAATGATGTAGTTTGTCTTGGAGAACAGCCTCCTCCAACAGACCGATGGCGTCAGAACAGCAAGGGATGCGATTACTTTTACCTTCCCTTGCAGCAAGATTTGTGGTCAACTTCATTCAGGAAGTATACGACGTGATTAAATATAAAGAAAGCTGGCGTTTCTGTGACTCAGTTGCTTTACCTCCAATCATATACATGGGAAACGGAAGAACCACATACCGTCAATGTATTCGTAAAAATAAAAAGTGGGACAATTGCTGTCTCCTTTTGCTCAAAGGCTGCAAGAATATCGACTTTTTGTCCCTTGTTCATCATATATAAGCCAGGTGCAGGAGTATTGTCCAATGGCCGATGGCACGATCTACGAAGTTGCTAAAATGTTACCCAGACATATAAGAGGGCAATCTGAATTTTATTTACTGTGTGTATGGATGAAGTGTACTTTGAACCTGCTGAACGTCGCAAATTCAGCATATTGATGATGAGCAGCAATAGTACGAAGCATCGCCAATAAACCAAACATGGCCTTGTAATGATCGAAGCTGGTTTTGCTTTTGTCATTTATACCATATGACGATGAACCTTCCGCGAGCAGTAGCTCAAGTCCATTCTCTCGTAGTTGGATTTTTCCGTCCCGTCACCCTCATCGTCACCGTCGAGATGATGCCCCCTTGATGGGCCGCCCGTACATTGTCGTTTCAAGCGCCTACTTTCAACTTCATCAACCACTTCCTCTGCCATATGGCCTCGCAGCCGATGCTAAGCGCATGATGGAAATTAGCATATTGTTATTGTTTGTTAAGTGACTTTACCTTTTGCGCTGCATATTGAACGGTGCTGGATGCGATAAAACGCGACGACTTCCAGAAATCCGAAATAAGGTCCTTGGCTTTTTTTGTCTGTTAAGGCACCGTTACTAAGGCAGCTTTCTTATTTTGAGTCTGCACTTCTTTTTACCTTCATGGAGATCTCTATTTGCCTCAAGATCGAGTCCGCAACTGTTCCCGGGACAACATGATTACGAATCAATTCGAGATCATCATAAAGCGCCTTATTCCCGCTGCGACTGGGAATTGTCGGGTTTTTTTGCACTAATTGAGTTAGATAGGCAATCGCGTTCCATTCGCAAGGCGCTTCCGACTCGAAGAATTCTGCAACGAAGAATTGATCTAAGCACGTAATTCTGCATAAACACTGATAAAACATAGTTACCTGGAAGTACAAGTGATTCACGTATTGCACTGGTGTAGGTATTTGCTAAATAAGGCGGTTTGCCGTTGGGCATAGTAACGCGTGAAATAAGTACCAAGAGGCAACCAGAGCTGCGCAACAAATTGATTGATTCTTAGGTTTGCCATAACCTGGAGATGATTTCGACGCCCGCTCTTTAACCTGTGTTTATATGGCGTAATAAACACACTAGCCTTCAATGCCTCAGGTTTTTACTGCTCACCGTTGTCACATTTTGTACAATATTGCACACTGCGTCATCAATCTGGCATCGGAAAGCCGCAGTTGATACCTTTTTTTTTTTTTTTTTTTTTAAATGGTTCCGCAAGCAAATCTAAGCTTTTTGTCAGCCATCATATATATCTTTTATCAAGCAGGAAGGCCTTACTTTTGTCGTACTATACTCGTTAATATTGACCGTAATAACCAGACATTGTTCATATTCAGCCTGTGGTACAAAATCCCGGTATCGGTTGGCAATCTCAATTGGTCTACTTCTCACGAACTGTCGGAAACTGTATCAGTAACGGCAATTCCACGAAATGTTGTGAGATTGCGGCTAGCTACTTCGCCATCTTTCCTATTATCACATAGAAAAAATCAGGACCCTCGCCGCTGTAAAGAGGAATAAATTTTTCAAGGAGTATTACCTTGACTGTTTTCTCCTTTCGAGTAGCATGAATTATGGTCGCCCTAAATAGGGTGCGTTGAACGATCAGATTTGAGCTGCAAAATTTGCATGGAATGACCTGCTTTTTCTTGGGAGGATTTATTCTGCTGAACATGATTTCGACAGATGGGATGCATTATTTTTTTTTTCTTAGCAAAGGTTGCTTGATTCATGACCAAACTTTTGAACTATGGGCATCTATCCTACTTTCTTGTACCGCGCTTCCCTTTACAGCTTCTGACATAACAACACTCACATTTGCAGTTCGCAAAGCTCGAAGAGTAAAAGCCGCCGAGATTGGGCTAGACAGGCAGAAGATGATGGCATAAAATCTTGCAACCCGCCATCGTTCGATATACTGTATCATATACCAGCAAACCAATGCAATCGGTGGCCACCTCAAGTCGACTGGATGGTATATACGTTGGGTGCCATGAAACACACGATGGCTTCAAGGGTTCGTCTGCTTCATTATCATTTTTCGCGAGTCGTTGACTGCATTCGGAAGGATTCTGTCGTTGAGATGGCAAGCATAGACCCAAAACACATAATGTTACACGTAGATGACATGAGCCGAGTACTGTTGACAAGCATATATCCACAGATAGCGCCGTTTTTGATACCGAGAAAAAATGAAACCGCACTGTGAGCGACCTCACATGGTGTGTATCCGTTCCTGAGAAAAGTCGTGTACTTTTCTCAAAGCCGAGCAAGAGATCACCTTCACTTGAAGTCCGCCGGGTGTCTTGGAAAGCTTACCGACATGCTTGCTGTCATTGCTGGATACAATGATGAACGGTCTGACTTCATTTGCCAAGCACGAGCACCTGGGAACCAAGTCGTTTCAGTGTATAGCTGATCAAGAGAGGCGGGAAACAGTAGCATACAGTTCGGTCGATAAAGTCAACTGTAAGAACGGGGATAATCAGTAAAGAGATGAAGGTACTCAACAAATCATTTGAGCGTTTAGGAAAGCCGACGAGTGACAAGCAACATAAATGCATACATACGAGGGGATTAATGCTTAGGGATATAGAACGGGTTCTTCGGGCCATCATCGGCGATGTCAGATGTGCGTTTGTTTTCATTGAGGCGTACAATCACCGGTTGGATGTGTTGCAGCAAGGATGGTCGGCTCCTCTGAGTGTCAAATTTGATTTCCTTTATGACTTCATCATGTTCTTCTGCAAGCGTGGACAGCACGTCCACGGTGTCCACCAAAGAAACCTGGTGTTTCTGCGAGTCAGTTGCTTTGTCTCAAATCACTGACGTTAGAAACAGAAGAACCACATACCGCCAATGTATTCGTAAAATTAATAAGCGGGACAATTGCTATCTCCTTTTGCTCAAAATCTGCGACAATATCGACTTTGTTTTGTTCCTTGTTCATCTCATATAAGCCAGGTGCAGGAGTAAACATTGTCCAGTGGCGAATGGTACGATCTACGAAGTTCTTAAAATGTTACCCAGACATATACGAGGCCAATCTGAATCTTACTTACTGTGTGTATGGTTGAAGTGTACTTTGAAATTGTTGAATCTCGCAAATTCAGCATATTGATAATGGGCAGCAATGGTGCGAAGCATCGCCAATAAACCAACGATGAAACTTCCGACAGCAGTAACTCAAGTCCATTGTCTCGTAACTGGATCTTTCCGTCGGCGTTGTACTTCAGGCGTCCGTCCACGATTCTTTGTGAACGCAGTTGCTTGGTCATTGCTGTCAGTTCTATTTCGCCCGGGAAAAATAGGACTTTGTGTCCTTGTTGCTCCAGATATCTATTGCACGCTTGTAAAAGAGGATCGACAACATAAAAGCGTAAGCAAGTTTCAGAAGCAGACAGTGTCTCCCCTGCGCCTTCATAGAGATTCAAACTATATAAAATGTGGTTAATGTCGTCTGCCAAAACCTAAATTTTATGACACCTACAAAATCTCAAGAACTTTGTTTTTGCATTAAAGTTGTCGCGCGGCTTCGAAAAGTTTGAACTGCATTTGAAAATATTTCGCCGTCCGCCTGTCGCCATAGCAAAATGAGTGCTTTATTCTGAAAAAAACATCGGCAACCTGTGTCCACTTACCGCATCTACCGCTTCGGATAAGGATGTGTGAAAATAAGGATCGACGGGCTGTAAGGGTAATAGTGGCAACTTCGCTGTTCAGCTTTGCTAATTGGATACATAGGTCGTCGATGGAACTGTTTACCGCACCAGATTATGTCATGGCATTCCGGGCTAAAATTATAAACAATTTGGTACAAAACCATCGGACAATGCAAAAGGCTTAGGTTACCTTAGTGGTGAAAGAACAATAGATTCTTGCAAGCTCTTGAAAAGCTTTTTCCATGCGCACTAAATGTCATCGTCACCGTCTTCTTCATCATCACCCTCGTCGTCACCGTCGAGATGATGCCCCCTTGATGGGCCGCCCGTACATTGTCGTTTCAAGCGCCTAACTTTCGACTTCATTAGCCATTCTCTTCTATATTGGGCCTCGCAATCGGTACTAAGCGCATGATGGAAATAAGCATATTGTTATTGTTTGTGTGTCTTTACCTTTTGTGCTGCACATTGAACAGTGCTGGATGCGATAAAACGCGACGACTTCCAGAAATCCGAAATAAGGTCCTTGGATTTTTTTGTCTGTTAAGGCACCGTTACTAAGGCAGCTTTCTTATTTTGAGTCTGCACTTCTTTTTACCTTCATGGAGATCTCTATTTGCCTCAAGATCGAGTCCGCAACTGTTCCCGGGACAACATGATTACGAATCAATTCGAGATCATCATAAAGCGCCTTATTCCCGCTGCGACTGGGAATTGTCGGGTTTTTTTGCACTAATTGAGTTAGATAGGCAATCGCGTTCCATTCGCAAGGCGCTTCCAACTCGAAGAATTGATCTAAGCACGTAATTCTGCATAAACACTGATAAAACATAGTTACCTGGAAGTGCAAGTGATTCACGTATTGCACTGGTGTAGGTATTTGCTAAATATGGCGGTTTGCCGTTGGGCATAGTAACGACGTGAAATAAGTACCAAAAGGCAACCAGAGCTGTGCAACAAATCCGATTGTTTGCTAGGTTTGCCATACCTGAAAGATGATTTCGACGTCCGCTCTTTAACCAGACATTGTTCATATTCAGCCTGCGCTATAAAAAACCCGGTGTCGGTTGGCAATCCCAATTTTTAAGGACATTTACACGCATCGCATTGACGTCTTTCCGTTTGTACAACCTACATTATTACAACACTATCAGTCTCTCGCAAAGATACGTATAACAATGGGAGGGAACCCACATTGATTGCGCTTTTAAAATATTTCATGAAGCAACGCATATGACGATGGCAGAACTGGCCTAATTGTTTGATGAGCGCTAGTCATACTGGTAGGAACCGCCGGCTGATTTTAGGAATTGCAGATGGTGTTTTGGTTGATTCCTTGTTGCGTTATATTGTGTAACGGCTTGACGCTGGAAGATAGATGACCGGAGAGTGATGGGTATCAATCCTTGTGGCGCTGCCACCAGATGCAATAGTTGTAAAGGACTATGAATATTGAATGGGTTGGCTGTGCCCTATTTATCGGAACCTAGAAGATTTTAGGGAAGCTGATAACCTTTTTGAATTGGGAACTTGTCCATTACTTGTTTTCATCGCTAGAGCATTCGCTCGGAAACAAATATCTCGCTCGTTACTTCCTACTAACAAGCATTTAGTCCATTCTGAACATATTTTAGTAAATTTGTATAGTACCAATAATCATTTTCGACGAGACGTGGCGAAGAAAAAAAAAAAAAAAAAAAAAAGGATGAAGGGGAGGATGACGACTTTTCATGCGAGATATTGAAATCACAATCACTGCGGCCTTTCAATAGTAAATCATGTGGATCATTCACGATTCACCATGCAACGGCAAAACCTCGACATATAACAGTATCGAAAATGCTGCAAACTCGACGGCTTCTGTAATTAGAACGAGGCAAAACAAATGCTCTTACGATCCCGGTCACAAATGCATTTGCATGAATCTTATGTAGGGGATTACTGACGACACTATCAAAGTCGAAAATAGGATTGCAGTTATTATAGTTCCACGCGGGTTTCTCAATCCAAACCTGCTATCCACGTAAGAATTATGCATAAGTCTCTTAAAAGTACATTTCAAGCTGTCATGAATGATTTTTCCTGTACTGTATTGTATTGCCGAATCTTATATGCTATTTCTACTCTTGTACATTGGGTTTCTCTTCTTCCATCTGTCGGTCCATTGACTAACGGTTCCTCACCGGAAATAGCACGGAAATGTGGGTTTAGTCTTCAATCATGCGTACGTATTGGCCACGTAGTAGGTCACCTGTGGTTTAAGAAAATGAGATATGGTGACGCAAAACGTCATCGTATGACATGCAGAACTCCAGCGACTGGCAGTCCCAGATACTGTACTTGCGAATTCAGAATAGTAATTTCCATCAAAATTATATTAGTATATTCAAACGTATTAGCAGACGACTACGAAGTTCTGGAATAAGTAACGAGTAAAAGGAACAGAAAGAAAGAAGCAGCAAGAAAAAGGAAAAGGCTGCTTTATCATTGGAAAGCAGCAGAAGAACAAAATTTTGTATGGCCAGGTATTAAAGGGACTTTGCTCGCTCGTATTGACGAAGGACGGATTGCCCAATCAATAATCAGCAATTATTGTTCCTTCCTGAATGGAAGTAGGGTCCACACAAACCCATAACTGTCTCTACAAGTTTTCTTTACGTGCCATTAAACTTCTTCGGCAGGTAATCACTTACATCTGCAGCTGTATAATATTTTTACACCGGGTGGCATTGTTGGCAATGCACTTATATTTTTAACCTAAATGGCTGATGGTTTCCTAGAAACCTTCTTCAGGTTTCGCATACTTGCGTCAAACGATTGAACTCATGGACCCATCAATGCACATATAGCGACCAGGTGCCAAAGCAGCAACTATGCGGTCATTGAAGGCATTGAGAACGGAACAAAAATACAAATTTGTTTATAATGAATCTTGAGCGACATGTATCTCTTGATATAAATGTTCTATCTCAGCAGACAATTGCTTTTCCACTCATATGACTTCCGGGTCAATGAAATTTGCATAAAATCATAGTTAAGAAACAGCGTCATGCAGGTAAGAGATTCGTTGAAGTCAAGTTCGGTCCAACGCTGCTTAGGGGACGCGGGCATGTCGATTTACTGCACTATTCTGAACTTGGCGATGAACGAAGACCGAAACACAAATTTTAGGAGGAGAGTGGGCAAACTGAAGTCGCATATGCTCTGAAGCTGAGTGACTAAAATAATTTGTGTGATAACGAGCTTCTTTGAGAGATAAAGATGGAATAAAAGATCAAGGTAAAATAATGTTAGAGAGCTCTTGAACAATGTTCATAATCTATCTATTTAGCAGGTTTCGGTCAAAACAAACATTGGTTTTGAGGCGCATGGTGATGTGAATAAACTGTACAACTAATGGATGTCGGAATTTGATTGGACCAGATTTTCTCGCGTCATAACAGAACGCCGTCATCCCCCGACTTGGCCTTGCGGTCTGCGCAATTTTCCGTCTTTTTCTTTCTTTACAACAACTTTCGCCAGCTCCATTGCGTGTGAATGGTCTTTGAAGATACGTTGAAGGTAATCGTGCAAGAAACCACAAAATCTAGGCACATGAACCCTGCCATACGTTGGAGAAATTCGCCGGCTGCCTTGATGACTAGTTAATAGTTATCTCCAGCTGGGAGTGGGAGCCGCACTAGATTTTTGTGGGGAGGTTGGCACGGTTGAACCCTGCCATACGTCGGAGAAATTCGCTGGCTGCTTAGATAACTAGTTATAGTTGTCTCCAGCTGGGAGTGGGAAGTTGCCATCCTCTTCTTGCACGTTCAGAATTCATCGAATTGGGTTAACGTGCAGTTGACTGACTTCCTTTTTTTTTCTTTTTTTTTTTTTTCTTTTTTAGTCGATAGAGGTTTGCACTGTTGTTATGGCGCCCGTGGCACCACAGCTTTTCCTATCTGGGCCTTGTATTGTACTGTTATCCCTTGTCGCCGAGCAACTACCTTTTGAATGGAAAAAAGGAACTGTGGTAGGTATAACTTATATGCACGTCGAATTTGACCGGACGAAATTTTCTCACGTCATCTGAAGAATTGCGCTTCTTTCCGTTTTGTTCACGACAACTTTCGCCAGCTCCATTGCGTGTGAATGGTCTTTGAAGATACGTTGAAGGTAATCGTGCAAGAAACCACAAAATCTAGGCACATGAACCCTGCCATACGTTGGAGAAATTCGCCGGCTGCCTTGATGACTAGTTAATAGTTATCTCCAGCTGGGAGTGGGAGCCGCACTAGATTTTTGTGGGGAGGTTGGCACGGTTGAACCCTGCCATACGTCGGAGAAATTCGCTGGCTGCTTAGATGACTAGTTATAGTTGTCTCCAGCTGGGAGTGGGAAGTTGCTATCCTCTTCTTGCACGTTCAGAATTCATCGAATTGGGTTAACGTGCAGTTGACTGACTTCCTTTTTTTTTTTTTTCTTTTTTTTTTCTTTTTTGGTCGATAGAGGTTTGCACTGTTGGCATGGCGCCCATGGCACCACAGCTTTTCCTATCTGGGCCTTGTATTGTACTGTTATCCCTTGTCGCCGAGCAACTACCTTTTGAATGGAAAAAAGGAACTGTGGTAGGTATAACTTATATGCACGTCGAATTTGACCGGACGAAATTTTCTCACGTCATCTGAAGAATTGCGCTTCTTTCCGTTTTGTTCACGACAACTTTCGCCAGCTCCATTGCGTGTGAATGGTCTTTGAAGATACGTTGAAGGTAATCGTGCAAGAAACCACAAAATCTAGGCACATGAACCCTGCCATACGTTGGAGAAATTCGCCGGCTGCCTTGATGACTAGTTAATAGTTATCTCCAGCTGGGAGTGGGAGCCGCACTAGATTTTTGTGGGGAGGTTGGCACGGTTGAACCCTGCCATACGTCGGAGAAATTCGCTGGCTGCTTAGATAACTAGTTATAGTTGTCTCCAGCTGGGAGTGGGAAGTTGCCATCCTCTTCTTGCACGTTCAGAATTCATCGAATTGGGTTAACGTGCAGTTGACTGACTTCCTTTTTTTTTCTTTTTTTTTTTTCTTTTTAGTCGATAGAGGTTTGCACTGTTGTTATGGCGCCCGTGGCACCACAGCTTTTCCTATCTGGGCCTTTTTATTTTGTATGTACTTGTTATCCCTTGTCGTCGCGGGCAAC